GATCTAGGTACATGTGATCTAGGTAATTGTGATCTAGGTACAAGTGATCTGGGTACATGTGATCTAGGTACATTTGATCTAGGTACAAGTGATCTAGGTACAAGTGATCTAGGTACATGTGATCTAGGTACATGTGATCTAGGTACATGTGATCTAGGTACAAGTGATCTAGGTACATGTGATCTAGGTACATGTGATCTAGGTAATTGTGATCTAGGTACAAGTGATCTAGGTACAAGTGATCTAGGTACATGTGATCTAGGTAAAATGTGATCTAGGTAAATGTGATGTAGGTACATTGTGATCTAGGTACATGTGATCTAGGTAATTGTGATCTAGGTTCATGTGATCTAGGTACAAGTGATCTATGTGGATCTAGGTACAAGTGATCTAGGTACATGTGATCTAGGTTCAAGTGATCTAGGTACAAGTGATCTAGGTACAAGTGATCTAGGTACAAGTGATCTAGGTACATGTGATCTAGGAACATGTGATCTAGGTACAAGTGATCTAGGTACAAGTGATCTAGGTACATGTGATCTAGGTAATTGTGATCTAGGTACATGTGATCTAGGTACAAGTGATCTAGGTACATGTGATCTAGGTACATGTGATCTAGGTAAAAGTGATCTAGGTACATGTGATCTAGGTACAAGTGATCTGGGTACATGTGATCTAGGTACATGTGATCTAGGTACATGTGATCTATGTTCAAGTGATCTAGGTAAAAGTGATCTAAGGTACATGTGATCTAGGTACAAGTGATCTAGGTACATGTGATCTAGGTACAAGTGATCTAGGTACATGTGATCTAGGTACATGTGATTTAGGTACAAGTGATCTATGTACAAGTGATCTAGGTACAAGTGATCTAGGTACATGTGATCTAGGTAATTGTGATCTAGGTACATGTGATCTAGGTACAAGTGATCTAGGTACATGTGATCTAGGTAATTGTGATCTAGGTACATGTGATCTAGGTAATTGTGATCTAGGTACATGTGATCTAGGTAATTGTGATCTAGGTACAAGTGATCTGGGTACCTGTGATCTAGGTACATGTGATCTAGGTACAAGTGATCTAGGTACAAGTGATCTAAGTACATGTGATCTAGGTACATGTGATCTAGGTACATTTGACCTAGTTACAAGTGATCTAGGTACATGTGATCTAGGTAATTGTGATCTAGGTACAAGTGATATGGGTACATGTGATCTAGGTACATTTGATCTAGGTACAAGTGATCTAGGTACAAGTGATGAAAGTACATGTGATCTAGGTACATGTGATCTAGGTACATTTGACCTAGTTACAAGTGATTTAGGTACATGTGATCTAGGTACATGTGATCTAGGTATTTGTGATCTAGGTACAAGTGATCTAGGTACAAGTAATCTAGGTACATGTGATCTAGGTAAATGTGATCAACGTAAATGTGATGTATGTAATTGTGATCTATGTACATGTGATCTAGGTAATTGTGATCTAGGTTCAAGTGATCTAGGCACAAGTGATCTAGGTACAAGTGATCTAGGTACATGTGATCTAGGTTCAAGTGATCTAGGCACAAGTGATCTAGGTACAAGTGATCTAGATACAAGTGATCTAGGTACATGTGATCTAGGAACATGTGATCTAGGTAAAAGTGATCTATGTACAAGTGATCTAGGTACAAGTGATAACGGTATTTGTGATCTAAGTACATGTGATCTAGGTGCAAGTGATCTACGTACATGTGATCTAGGTACATGTGATCTAGGTAAAAGTGATCTAAGTACATGTGATTTAGGTACAAGTGATCTAGGTACATGTGATCTAGGTACAAGTGATCTAGGTACATGTGATCTATGTTCAAGTGATCTATGTAAAAGTGATCTAAGTACATGTGATCTAGGTACAAGTGATCTAGGTACATGTGATCTAGGTACAAGTGATCTAGGTACATGTGATCTAGGTACATGTGATTTAAGTACAAGTGATCTATGTAAAAGTGTTCTAGGTACAAGAGATCTAGGTACATGTGATCTAGGTAATTGTGATCTAGGTACTTGTGATCTAGGTACAAGTGATCTAGGTACATGTGATCTAGGTAATTGTGATCTACGTACATGTGATCTAGGTAATTGTGATCTAGGTACATGTGATCTAGGTAATTGTGATCTAGGTACAAGTGATCTGGGTACCTGTGATCTAGGTACATTTGATCTAGGTACAAGTGATCTAGGTACAAGTGATGAAAGTACATGTGATCTAGGTACATGTGATCTAGGTACATTTGACCTAGTTACAAGTGATCTAGGTACATGTGATCTAGGTAATTGTGATCTAGGTACAAGTGATATGGGTACATGTGATCTAGGTACATTTGATCTAGGTACAAGTGATCTAGGTACAAGTGATGAAAGTACATGTGATCTAGGTACATGTGACCTAGGTACATTTGACCTAGTTACAAGTGATTTAGGTACATGTGATCTAGGTACATGTGATCTAGGTATTTGTGATCTAGGTACAAGTGATCTAGGTACAAGTAATCTAGGTACATGTGATCTAGGTAAATGTGATCAACGTAAATGTGATGTATGTAATTGTGATCTATGTACATGTGATCTAGGTAATTGTGATCTAGGTACATGTGATCTAGGTGCAAGTGATCTAGGTACATGTGATCTATGTTCAAGTGATCTAGGTACAAGTGATCTAAGTACATGTGATTTAGGTACAAGTGATCTAGGTACATGTGATCTAGGTACAAGTGATCTAGGTACATGTGATCTAGGTACATGTGATTTAGGTACAAGTGATCTATGTAAAAGTGTTCTAGGTACAAGAGATCTAGGTACATGTGATCTAGGTAATTGTGATCTAGGTAATTGTGATCTAGGTCATTGTGATCTAGGTACATGTGATCTAGGTAATTGTGATCTACGTACATGTGATCTAGGTAATTGTGATCTAGGTACATGTGATCTAGGTAATTGTGATCTAGGTACAAGTGATCTGGGTACCTGTGATCTAGGTACATTTGATCTAGGTACAAGTGATCTAGGTACAAGTGATGAAAGTACATGTGATCTAGGTACATGTGATCTAGGTACATTTGACCTAGTTACAAGTGATTTAGGTACATGTGATCTAGGTACATGTGATCTAGGTATTTGTGATCTAGGTACAAGTGATCTAGGTACAAGTAATCTAGGTACATGTGATCTAGGTAAATGTGATCAACGTAAATGTGATGTATGTAATTGTGATCTATGTACATGTGATCTAGGTAATTGTGATCTAGGTACATGTGATTTAGGTACATGTGATAAAGGTAGAAGTGATCTAGGTACATGTGATCTATTTTCATGTGATCTATATAAAAGTGATCTAGGTACATGTGATCGAGGTAATTGTGATCTAGGAACATGTGATCTAGGTTAAAGTGATCTAGGTACAAGTGATCACGGTATTTGTGTTCACGGTATTTGTGATCTAGGTACATGTGATCTAGGTACAAGTGATCTAGGTACATGTGATCTAGGTTCAAGTGATCTAGGCACAAGTGATCTAGGTACAAGTGATCTAGATACAAGTGATCTAGGTACATGTGATCTAGGAACATGTGATCTAGGTAAAAGTGATCTATGTACAAGTGATCTAGGTACAAGTGATAACGGTATTTGTGATCTAAGTACATGTGATCTAGGTGCAAGTGATCTAGGTACATGTGATCTAGGTACATGTGATCTAGGTAAAAGTGATCTAAGTACATGTGATTTAGGTACAAGTGATCTAGGTACATGTGATCTAGGTACAAGTGATCTAGGTACATGTGATCTAGGTAATTGTGATCTAGGTAGATGTGATCTAGGTACATATGATCTAGGTACATGTGATCTAGGTACATGTGACTAACGTACAAGTGATCTAGGTACAAGTGATCTAGGTAATTGTGATCTAGGTACAAGTGATCTAGGTAACTGTGATCTGGTACAGTTGATCTAGGTACAAGTGATCTAGGTACATGTGATCTAGGTAATTGTGATCTAGGTTCATGTGATCTAGGTAATTGTGATCTAGGTACAAGTGATCGAGGTACATGTGATCTAGGTAAATGTGATCTATGTACATGTGATCTAGGTAATTGTGATCGAGGTACTTGAGATCTAGGTAAATGTGATCTAGGTTCAGGTGATCTAGGTACATGTGATCTAGGTACATGCGATCAAGGTAAGTGTGATCTCTGTAAATGTGATCTATGTACATGTTATCAAGGTAAATGCGATCAAGGTACATACGATCTAGGTACCTGTGATCTAGGTACATGTGATATAGGTAAATGTGATCTATGTACATGTGATCTAGGTACATATGATCTCAGTACGTGTGATCTAGGTAAATGCGATCAAGGTACATACGATGTAGGTACATGTGATCTAGGTACATGTGATCAAGTTAAATGCGATCTAGGCACATGTGATCTAGGTAAATGTGATCTATGCACATGTGATCTAGGTAGGTGTGGTCTAAGTATGTGTGATCTAGGTAAATGTGATCTATGTACGTGTGATCTAGGTAAATGCGATCAAGGTACATACGATCTAGGTACATGTGATCTAGGTACTTGTGATCTAGGTACATGTGATCTAAGTATGTGTGATCTAGGTACATTTGATCTAGGTAATGTGATCTAGCTAAATGTGATCAAATACAAATCATCTAGGTAAATGTGATCTATGTGCATGTGATCAAGGTAAATGTGATCAAGGTAAATGTGATCTAGGTAAATACAGACTAAAATCAAGTTTAGTTTTAACTTGAAATAAACCACGCATGTTCAACAAGTTCTTCAGTCTATTCTTTTATTCAAGTGGCATGTAACCATTGATGTAGAGTTAAAAAGGCAACCCAACCAAACAATGCAATCGCCATTGATAATCTTCGTCATTGAAATGTGTGTAAGGTAACAAGCGCACTGATCGCGTTCACATGGGATTGTTCAGTCCAAATACCAACTATCAACTACACATTACTGAAAGCTGAATACGTAGGTGGCTCGGGAACACTGGTGACTTTTGAAGCCAGGAAGTTGATAATGTTTATATAAATGCTCTTGCGTGTCGGCTAAAGGTCGTTCGACTCGAACTTTACGTGGGCCAGTCCAGTTCAAAAAGTTTGTATCAACATGTTATAACAACGTTATGTTCACTGGGACGATCCACGCCATCGCGACATGAGCCGTTATCAGCATGCGAGTGTGCTTTATTTCCTCCTGTGGGTCCTCCATGTTGGTGAGTAAAAACGCCTTCAGCGATTACGGTAGTGTTCTGTTAAGTTTATGATAATTTTGAGGAAGGCTACACCGCTCACATACACTAAAATATTTGTTGTCAATTATTCAAATCAAACGTAACTAAGTGTACTTTGTTCATTGTTGAACACCGTATGCATATTTTAATCTGTATGTGATGATCTGTAAACATATAAATAGACCAGACAAACTCGTGATTAATGTTATGAGCATGACGTTTAAGTGTGATGACAATCCGTCAAGCTACTTATCCTCAATAATCCGACTCATTAAGTCTACATATTTCAGTTTTTATTAACACATCATGTATTGTAACACTTTGGGATTGTATTAAACTGTACTTATGTGCAATAGACCGTTTTGCTGGACAACAGGTCAGTGCATCTTTTATTTTTTGTTTTGCATCAAGTCGTAATACAATCATGCTGTATGGCCAACTCAAGTCACACAAGTTATACCAGGTACATTTGATCTAACATAGTTTTCTCACTATAGCACACAGCGCTACAACGACATACGGCCTTAACACGACGCTTTTCAATAGGTGTATTAAAACGTCACAAATGCCATATTTGTACTGCTACATGCTTTACACGGTAATGATAGATCTGGGCCTTGTGTACATGGACCTTTCACATTCAGCCTGTATTGTTAGTGAAGGTCGGACATGGGGAGTGGTTTAACTGGGTCAGAGTTGGTAAATGTCTGACAAGATATTGATTAACACACCTCTCAGCCCCAAGTGTTACGTGTACGATTAAAGGTCATACTGACCTAGCGGAAATCGTAAGGGGGGCTTGGAAGGGTATAATAAACTTCATAGCTGGATGATAAATCACCACACTTGAATAACCTGCGACACAGATTTCATCTTGCCTTAAAGGCAAAAACGTAGTGTCAATTATGTTATGGGTTAGTAAATGTTTTTAAGATACGAATCAGAATTATTTTCCCTATGGTAAATTATATGAAAGGATCATATAAAATCAGTGATGACACCAGGTGTTCTTGGAAATGGTAAGCATGTTCTGCACCACAGGCAGCATCCCCGTCCCCTTCCACTGCCACCCCCACCAGTTTAATAAGTTTGTGTTTGCTTTGCAGTGGCATAACCTGTGAAGATCTAGGTTAGAATTAGTCTTCAGTAACTCATGCTTGTCGTGAGAGGCGACTAACGGGATCGGGTTGTCAAGCTCGCTGGCCTGGCCTACTCATGTCATCGTATCCCAGTTGAGTAGATCGATGCGTATGCTGTTGATCACTGGATTGTCTGGTCCAGGCTCGATTATTTACAGACCGCTGCCATATATATGGAATAATGTTGAGTGCGGCGTAAAGCTAAACTCACTCACTCGCAGTGGCACACTGTCATACGACGGAGCCTGTAAGCAAATATATTCATGCCAATAATGGTTGTCACCCCCTTCAATTTTTTTAATTGGAGAGGGGGTGTGGGGTGGGTGTGTGAGGTGTGTGTTGGGTTGGGGTGGGGAGGGGGTGACAACCATTAATGGCATGAGTATATTACCGCCAAGTATTGGACCGGTAGCACATTAATTGATTAACAGCGGTATTTTAGTTTGGAATTGCATATCTATAGATGTATAGGGGTTCTGTTGGTCATGCTCCAAATAAGCAGGTGAGAGAAGAGACGGGTGTTATTCGCATTCTCTAAATGGTCACAACAAAATCTCATTTCGGTAATAATTTTTGTAACAATCCACATAGGATTTTGTTCTGTGGATGTAGGGAGTTTCATCAAGTTTGTACACATCTGTTGGGGTCCGCAATTTTGTACATAAACATATTCAACATTTATGCATAAAAATTATAAGAAAGGGGGCGGTCACTGATTTTGTACATGACATGCAGAGGGATCACTTACTTTGTACATGTGTGCGTGTGTGTGTGTGTGTGTGTGTGTGTGTGTGTGTGTGTGTGTGTGTGTGTGTGTGTGTGTGTGTGTGTGTGTGTGTTTATTCACATTGTACATGCTTCTCCATAAAAGTCGTCACCCCCCTAGTCATAAATTATGAACGCTCCCTATGCACGCAGAGAATACATGTAAGTTTATCACATTGCTTGCTTGGGATTTTAATAAGAGTATCCAAATGCTTGCTGTTATATTTTTCATTTAGTCTATGAGGTATATTTCACATGTCAGCACGTACGTAAGTCCAGAAACATTTAAAGAAAATTTGAACTTACCAGATTCATTAAAAGTAGTCTTCTTGTGATTTTAATTTATGGCTAAAGTCGACTGCAATCGCCAGCGGCTGAAGGGATGATATACCAGCTAGGGTCCATGCAGGTAGCAAAAGTACTGTAAGTCCCCATGGTCCCTAATATGGTAATCTACCTTCTGTTGATGATGATCAATAGCCCATTTTTACATTGTACTGTCCCAAAATATTTTCCTTTTAAAGACATATGCTAGCTAGTTTTAACTCATTTTGTGATAATATAGTAAGTTTACTGTCCTTTGTTGACAGGGTTTTATATATTATATGTATGTATTATGAATTTAGAACTAGTTTTAGTCACGATATGCCTGAAATATTGCCGATGTGACTTTAAGTCTTAACTCACTCACTCACTCATATGTCAGCACATACCGACGTTGTGAAACAAGACTGCCTGTATTTCCTTTGATGTTTTATTCTCCGGCATTCGGTTGACAGTTGAGGTCTGAACATAACGGAGCACTGCCATATACAGCACGGAACACAGCGTTCATTCACGTCGTAGCCTAAAAACTGTCGCCGATTGACTGCAAATGTATAAACTAGGAGAACCAGTTTATTATCCTACGAGACAAATCTGGAAGACTGATTAAATTAAATGGATGGATAAATCTATGAAGTTAGAAAGTGAATATTGTTAACTTTACGAATTTAGTATATTGTACATTGTCTGGGAACATGGTGCGGTAAATATTTTAGTCTTATAGAACCCGGGTCTTGGCGTGACGAGCGAACGCTTTAACCACTACAGCTCCTATAAAGTTGATATTATATTTACATGGGAACATGGTGCGGTTGTTAGTCTTTAGAAATTTACGAATTTAGTATATTGTACATTGTCTTTAGACATGGCGCGGTAAATATTTTAATCTTAGATATGAAAACCTAGTACGAATACTACATAGGCTATATTTGGGAGTGCACTTTCTTAGTAAAGTACAGACACTAGTACTTTTGTTGGGTTGAGTCCCCAAAATGATTAAAACGACTGTACATAGAGGCACCTGTCGCCATGGCAACTATTTGAAGTGCAGGGAAACTAAAAGTATACGCCTATGTTTAATTTGATTCTTGTTTTTTAACCCGACAGTTACGATTGCATGGTCGCTAGCATGGGTTCACGAGGTTGAGTCCGGTAACCATATAATATACCGATATTTATTGTAAACCGTGTCACCACATATCCCGCCGCGTGTAGAGTCCGCTAACCATATAATATACCGAGTGACAGCGGAGTAGTGATATTTACTGTAAACCGTGTCACCACATATCCCGCCGCGTGTAGAGTCCGCTAACCATATAATACACCGAGTGACAGCGGAGTAGTGATATTTACTGTAAGCCGTGTCACCACATATCCCGCAGCGTGTAGTTTGTAGTCCCAGGTGTGTAGTAATACCATTTGACGATATACCGGAAAGTCCAAATAGATACGATAGGTATAGTTTGGCATGAAATGCATGTGGACCCGGATTGTTGTAAATATCTCTTCATCCAATGATCCAATCGACCCAACACTGCCGCTGTTACAGGTCATTGGCTCCCTCCCTCTGTAAGCAGTCTGCGTTCTGCTGTTTATTTTGTTGACAGTTACATAGACAGATTCTTTAATACATATGCATAAAATCGGTGATTTACAATGTGATTAGGTTGTCTGACAAAACATCCACTTGCACAGTTTGAGATCGATTGGATCATTGAATATTGGATATTTACAAAAAAACGGGTCCACATGCATTTCATGCCAAACTATAGGGCTGACGCGACATGGTCTTTCTAGACAGGATGCAAAGTTAATTATTTTTTGGTCAGTGAGGTAGAAATACTCGCTATTGTGACGCTGGGACCGTTTGAACGGTTCTCTACTTGTCAAAGAAGATCTCTCCTTCCATCTGAGAGGCGGTGGGGTAGCCGGGTGATTAAAACTCATTAAGCCCGAGAGACACTTCACTACTCAACACCTGGAACCCCTCGCTGATTGCCCTGCTCGCTGTTGCGAGCTAATTAGTGCTATCCACACCTGATTTTCCTGGCAGGTTTCGGGGATCACAGGAAACTGTCTAGTCGTACACACAAGCTCTGATTGTTTAATTGTGTCGTAAAGATACAAGTTAAAAGAAAGCAGGTGTGAATACATATCATGTATGGCAACGTTTTATGTAATTTTATTGCAAGTTTCTCTTGTAGACCTTTTGCAGCTTGTACATTTATGTTTTATCAACATATGTATGTATTCTTTGTATGCAAGAGATGAAACATACATAGACAAATTCTTTCTCTTATATCATTGTGTGAGGATTAAGTTTACAAAACATCTATGACAATGACATGCTGTAATTTACGTACATGCTTTATAATTTTCTACGATATCAGCGTTTGTGCCGATAGATTTCTACTGTATACTGAATATTTCAAGGAAAGTACTATTGCGCTAGTCCGTGACTAACATAGAGCACATTCATAACTTTGTTTCATCTAGATGTAATGCAGAAAACATACGTTATCATACGAACATACATATACAAATTGTATAATACAGATTCCTTGTATAGACATGAAACAAAGAGTCACGTGATAGGGCGTCATCATTTTCCCCAATAGAACATGCGGTATCTCAATCGCTCAATATAGTGGCTGATCATTTGTTGTCTATGACCAATCGTATCATGAGATACCTGTCACAGAGGAAGGGACAGGTGATGGGGCGTGGGCGAAATTTCTGAAGACCATGTTTGGTCACTCAGCAGATGGATAGAGATTGATTATTGGCTATACCGTTGACCAGTCGATATGCTGGGTTTCGGCTTTAACAACTCAAGCTATCATGTAACAGTTTGTGTATTGTAAACATGCATAATCGTAACGATGTATGAAATAATGCACGTAAGACAAATAGGAGTAGATAGATCTCAGAGATCGAAAACACATTTAAGTGTTTTTCGATAAGTAAAACAAAGTGATTGAAATCCAACCGTTGAGTAGAGATAGTATTTATTTTCATATGCATTTTACGCACACAACTAGTACATAAAACATAATGGTTTGCTGTACATGTAAATATGATCTTCACCTTGATACGAATGAATATCTAATTAAAGTACACGTATTATAGAATTCAAAAAGTGACACGACACTGAATCATTATAAGGTATCAACTTGCAGTTTAATCCCCCCAAATATTTATGAAGATGAGCGTTCCTATATTTATACTGAATGTAAACGAGGTTCATAAGATTACAGATGTGCATGCATGCATAAACATTACAAAGAGAGGCGTGACTCCATAAAGCAGGTTGTCCATTGATATAACATCGCATCTGTTTATTTTACACTTGTCACGGGACAAACCTTTCAACGAGGGCGTAACTACACATGCATTCTACCGGAGGCTGTTATTTCAAGGTCGAAAGAGGTCTTCAATTATCTCATTACTGTAATATGATTGATTATACGCATGTGTATCGATACCGTAACTGATATACTATCCAGCTTTTATTGACGATGGATCAATAGAGACTGAGTTCATTGATACACGTGATAATTACACCAGATTTGATAATTACAGAGATCAAATATAAATGTTTTACACAATGCTCATGTAAATTGCATAGAAAGCTGACAAATTCAAATCAACATGAAACTTTCAACAGCTTGAACAAAAATACTTGAAATACCTTTGTATGGTTTACATGTATTAACTTATGATATTACTTCTGTCTATGTCTAAGAAGTTTTTGACTTACCAACTTACTGTGTTTTGTGACAAACGTAGTAAAAGATTTCATTGTTGTAATAACACTGACATGTATTATATTCGATGCAAAGGCGCGACTTATCACTTTAGATTCGATTAGGTATTATGTTATACGATATTTCTATAGCGCACATATCCAGGCAACTAGTGCTTGCTCAAGGCGCTGGTAACATCTCTCTCGCTGTGAGAAACTGCCAATTACCTGCCCCATAAACACGTCACTCGCTGTGAGGAGCTGATTAATTTGCCCCATATATGCGTCTCTCGGCTTTAATGAGTTAATATTCGCTTGTCACGCTGCAGACCCGGGTTCGATTCCCCATATGGGCACAGTGTGTTAAGACCTTCTCTGGTGCCCCCCGCTCTGATATTGCTTGAATATTGCTAAAAGCGACGTGAAACCAAACTCACTCACTCGCTCATTCCATCTGAGGACCACACCATATGGAAATCAATTTTAACCTAAGTAAAGTACAAAAAGAGCAATAGTGTTGTTGTGTTGTGTCATGTAAGAGCCGCGTGCAGGAAAGTAGCTCTCATTTTGATCCCTGTGAGTGTTGGCCTCATTTCACTGACACGGTGATGTAATGCTGTGCACTCTGGTCAAAGGTTCTGCAGTTCGCTACGGAGGGTTGCGTGACTTGCCTCCGCCACTCAGGCGTTTGACCACAATTCTTTCTCGGCTGATGGCTCTGGGTTTCATCATCACCATAGTTGTATATACAACGTTGTATAGTAAGCCTTTAATATGTACCCCTGGCTAGGGGGGAGCGCAGTGTTGTTTAACGCCGTACTCAGCAATAGTCCAGCTATATGGCGGCGGTCTGTAAATAATTGAGTCTGGACCAGACAATCCAGTGACCAACAGCATGAGCATCGATCTAGGCATTTGGGATACAATGACATGTGTCAACCAAGTCAGGAAGTCTGACCACCCGATCCCGTTAGTCGCCTCTTACGACAAGCATGGGTTGCTGAAGATCAATTCTAACCCGGATCTTTATGAGGGAGACAAGCATGGGTTACTGAAGATCAATTCTGACCCGGGTAGTGCTCATGAATTTTCAGGAGCAAGAAAACAATATCCACGATGTCGAAAACTATATCCTACCTCTCAACTGGAACCCGTGAAAGGATGTACTGAGACTGTGTTACATTCAAGCACCTGTCAAAGATCTCTCGAAATGTGGGGACGGTGTGGTAGCCTGGCGGTTAAAGCGTTCTCTCGTCACGCCGAAGACCCGGGTTCGATTCCTCAAATGGGTACAGTTTGTAAAGCCCATTTCTGGTGTCCCCTCACTGTGGTATTGCTGGATTATTGCTAAAATCCACGTAAAACTAAATTCACTCACTCAAATATTGGGACTGTCCTTGCGGACTACATTGCTCACCCAACCACTCTCGCTTTCTTCTTCCACCCCAAACCCCAACCCCAACCCCACCCCCACCCCCACCCCTGCCCTACCCTACCCACCTCTCTTTCCCTCATATAGTTATGTAATGGGGCCGCCAGGTTTAGGTGTATTATACTCATGATTACAATCTCCCAGTGCATTTTTATTTCAATAATCTATTGGGTAACAAATAACGAGCACTTGTTCCTTCCCGGCAAGTTATGCAAGTCTGGTCCGCTTATTAACGTTTAATGCGTCAACTGCCGGATATTTGTCACGGTCACCCACGAAGAAAACCTGAATGAGGCAGTCATTTCGTCAGGATCTATGCTGGATTAGGTACACACCAATGTCAATAGATTATTTATCATTTACAACATGCCTGTGTCATGCTTCAATGCACCGTTTAAAATGTTTTGAAAGGCATTTAGAAGTTGGACTAACATGAATACATAACCCGTTTTATGGAAAACAACTTCTTATTTATTCTTTATACGACGTTTCAGAGCTAATGCCTGCTCCTTATATGCTTATCTTTGTACTTTCTCTCTACATGTGTAAGCATGTTTTATCTATCTATCTATCTATCTATCTATCTATCTATCTATCTATCTATCTATCTATCTATCTATCTATCTATCTATCTATCTATCTATCTATCTATCTATCTATCTATCTCTATCTATCTTTCTATCTCTCTATCTATCTATCTATCTATCTATCTATCTATCTATCTCTCTATCTCTCTCTCTCTCTCTATCTCTATCTCTATCTCTATCTATCTCTCTCTCTATCTATCTATCTCTCTATCTACCTATCTATCTATCTCTATCTATCTCTCTATCTCTCTATCTATCTATCTCTCTCTCTCTCTCTATCTATCTATCTATCTATCTATCTATCTATCTCTCTCTCTATCTATCTATCTCTCTATCTCTCTATCTATCTATCTCTCTGTCTATCTATCTATCTATCTATCTATCTATCTATCTATCTATCTATCTATCTATCTATCTATCTATCTATCTATCTATCTATCTATCTATCTATCTATCTATCTATCTATATTCACTCGTTGTACTGACTCAGCATTCACCTGATGAAAGAAGTTATCCACAAAACGTGTCGTATCATATTTCCGGAGCCCTTCCCTCAAAAGTATTTCAAGATTGTTTGCTTAGAAAAGAGAAGTGAACATCGTCAGAATTCTCAAACAGAGTGGCTGATGTTATTTAGAATAGGTCTCTCAACTGTATTACATAATTACATTCTACTGGGGTGGCCGTGTGGTTAAAGTGTTCGCTCGTCACGCCGACGACCCGGGTTCGATGTCCAACATGCGTACAATGCGTGAAGCCCGCCGTGATATTGCTCGAATATTGCTAAAAGCAGCGTAAAACTATCATAACTAATAACTAATTGCGTTCAGTATAATTTCTGGTTTTCTGGGAAATGTGACATTATTTTTGTAAAACCTGCAAAATAATGTCATCAAATGAATAAGAGTGAGAACAGCAAACACAAAGCAAACACATGGTACACGTAATATAGGTGATGGTTCTGACATTATCTTGGTAACTGTTATTTGAAATCTTCGTTGAAAAAACATGCTCGATTGTACCTCAAAGGAGCTATTGGAATTTTGCAAATTGATTCTGGCATCGGCGGTTTTATTGATGTTTTTTGCCTTCCAGATGGAGCTAGTTTTCTCAACAAGCCAAGCAACGTGACGATAAAGAAAGGAGAGAATGCCATATTTCCATGTAAAGTTGAAGATTTAGGTAAGACCTGTATTTCTGTTATACAACATCCCAAAGTGAGTGAGTATGGTTTTACGCCGCTTTTAACAATATTCCAGCAATAAGACGACGAGGGACACCAGAAATGGACTTCACATATTGTACCCATGTGGGAAATCAAACCCGGGTTTTCGGCGTGATGAAAGAAAGCTCTAATCACTAGGCTACCCCACCGCCCGACCTGACTAGGGTTAGGGGTGGGTGGGAGTGGGGGTGGGGTTGTGTGATGGCGTTTTTTATGGAGAAGAATATGAATTACCTCCCCTAACATTTATCCACAAAGTAATTGACCCCATGCTTGTCATAAGAAAATCAATGACAAACCCACCCACCCACCCCCACACACACATACACACACACTTTCCCGTATTTTTTAAGCAAAGTGTCTTAATATTTATGTGTACGAAATTGCTGATACCCCGTAGTACACGTGATGGTCCCCTTCTTCCTCGGGACAAAACCTGACCATAAATTATGAACGGTACTTCAGGAAGTTTTAATCCTAAACACAATGTTTGTTACCTAATGTAGTTCTTTTTAAAAATTCCACAGAGACGTCTGACCGCGTTGCGTGGTTCTCTATTGCGTCATCGAAGCTGCTGTCCATGGATGGTCACACCTTCAGTTCGGACAATCACGTGATCGTGAACATTGACCCCATTGGTGGATTTCAGCTCCATATCAACAATGTCACAGTACGTGATGGCGGGATGTACAAGTGCATAGTAACAACAGACCCAGTCAGGGAACAGACATCCGTATTGCGTGTCATTGGTAAGATGTACTTAATGAAGAAAAATTAAATGTTTATATATAATTGTGGGTTGTTTTGGGGGTATATTTTCATGCCTGGAAATATCATTTTGACCTGAACGAATCAGCGGAATATCAGTATAAGTAATTGTTATCAGTCTTTAACCTTGGTTTTACCTTCTAGCAGACAACCCGTGAAGATCCGGGTTAGAACTGATCTTCAGTAACCCATGCTTGTCGTAAGATTGGCTAACGGGATCGGGTGATCAGGCTCGCTGACTTGGTTGACACAGGTCATCGTAACCCAGTTGTGTAGATCGATGCTCATGCTGTTGATCACTGGATTGACTGGCCCAGACTCGATTATTTACAGACCGCTGCCATATAGCTGGACTATTGCTGAGTACGGCGTAAAACTAAAATCACTCACTCACTCTCTCTAACAGACAAGATAACACTGTGAAACGAACCGGGGTCTTCGGCGTGACGAACGAAGACTTTAACCACGAGGCTACCCCACCGCCCCATGTAGACATAAGACCATTACATCACAGTACAACTAACCCCGTCATAGAGCTGGAATACTGCTGAGGGCGAGGTTAACCCGTCATAGAGCTGGAATACTGCTGAGTGCGGCGTTAACCCCGCCATAGAGCTGGAATACTGCTGAGGGCGAGGTTAACCCGTCATAGAGCTGGAATACTGCTGAGGGCGAGGTTACTGGAATACTGCTGAGGGCGAGGTTAACCCGCCATAGAGCTGGAATACTGCTGAGGGCGAGGTTAACCCGTCATAGAGCTAGAATACTGCTGAGTACGGCGTAAACCCCGCCATAGAGCTGGAATACTGCTGAGGGCGAGGTTAACCCGTCATAGAGCTGGAATACTGCTGAGTGCGGCGTTAACCCCGCCATAGAGCTGGAATACTGCTGAGGGCGAGGTTAACCCGTCATAGAGCTGGAATACTGCTGAGGGCGAGGTTAACCCGGCCATAGAGCTGGAATACTGCTGAGGGCGAGGTTAACCCCGCCATAGAGCTGGAATACTGCTGAGGGCGAGGTTAACCCGTCATAGAGCTGGAATACTGCTGAGTACGGCGTAAACCCCGCCATAGAGCTGGAATACTGCTGAGGGCGAGGTTAACCCGTCATAGAGCTGGAATACTGCTGAGTGCGGCGTTAACCCGGCCATAGAGCTGGAATACTGCTGAGGGCGAGGTTAACCCGTCATAGAGCTAGAATACTGCTGAGTACGGCGTAAACCCCGCCATAGAGCTGGAATACTGCTGAGGGCAAGGTTAACCCGTCATAGAGCTGGAATACTGCTGAGTGCGGCGTTAACCCGGCCATAGAGCTGGAATACTGCTGAGGGCGAGGTTAACCCGTCATAGAGCTGGAATACTGCTGAGGGCGAGGTTAACCCGGCCATAGAGCTGGAATACTGCTGAGGGCGAGGTTAACCCCGCCATAGAGCTGGAATACTGCTGAGGGCGAGGTTAACCCGTCATAGAGCTAGAATACTGCTGAGTACGGCGTAAACCCCGCCATAGAGCTGGAATACTGCTGAGGGCGAGGTTAACCCGTCATAGAGCTGGAATACTGCTGAGTGCGGCGTTAACCCGGCCATAGAGCTGGAATACTGCTGAGGGCGAGGTTAACCCCGCCATAGAGCTGGAATACTGCTGAGTACGGCGTAAACCCCGCCATAGAGCTGGAATACTGCTGAAGGGGAGTTTAAACCCGCAATAGAGCTAGAATACTGCTGAGTACGGCGTTAACCCCGCCAAAGAGCCTGAATACTGCTGAGGGTGAGACTAACCCGTCTTAGAGCTGGAATACTGCTGAGGGCGAGGTTAACCCCGCCATAGAGCTGGAATACTGCTGAGTGCGCCGCCAACCCCGCCATAGAGCTGGAATACTGCTGAGGGCGAAGTTAACCCCGCCATAGAGCTGGAATACTGTTGAGTACGGCCTTAACCGCGTCATAGAGATAGAATGCTGCTGAGTGCGGCGTTTACTCCGCCATAGAGCTGAAATAGTGCTGAGGGCGAAGTTAACCCCGCCATAGAGCTGGAATACTGCTGAGGGCGAGGTTAACCCGTCATAGAGCTGGAATACTGCTGAGGGCGAAGTTAACCCCGCCATAAAGCTGGAATACTGCTGAGGGCGGCGTTAACCGCGTCATAGAGCTGGAATACTGCTGAGGGCGAGGTTAACCCGTCATAGAGCTGGAATACTGCTGAGGGCGAAGTTAACCCCGCCATAGAGCTGGAATACTGCTGAGTACGGCCTTAACCGCGTCATAGAGATAGAATGCTGCTGAGTGCGGCGTTTACTCCGCCATAGAGCTGAAATAGTGCTGAGGGCGAAGTTAACCCCGCCATAGAGCTGGAATACTGCTGAGGGCGAGGTTAACCCGTCATAGAGCTGGAATACTGTTGAGGGCGAAGTTAACCCCGCCATAGAGCTGGAATACTGCTGAGGGCGAGGTTAACCCGTCTTAGAGCTGGAATACTGCTGAGGGCGAAGTTAACCCCACCATAGAGCTGGAATACTGCTGAGTACGGCGTTAACCGCGTCATAGAGATAGAATGCTGCTGAAGGCGGCGTTTACTCCGCCATAGAGCTGAAATAGTGCTGAGTGCGGCGTTAACCCCGCCATAGAGCTGGAATACTGCTGAGTACGGCGTAAACCCCGCCATAGAGCTGGAATACTGCTGAGGGCGAGGTTAACCCGTCATAGAGCTGGAATACTGCTGAGGGCGAGGTTAACACGTCATAAAGCTGGAATACTGCTGAGGGCGAGGTTAACCCGCCATAGAGCTGGAATACTGCTGAGGGCGAGGTTAACCCGTCATAGAGCTGGAATACTGCTGAGGGCGAGGTTAACCCGTCATAGAGCTGGAATACTGCTGAGGGCGAGGTTAACCCCGTCATAGAGCTAGAATACTGCTGAGTGCGGCGTAAACCCCGCCATAGAGCTGGAATACTGCTGGGCGCGGCGTTAAACCCGTCATAGAGTTGAAATAATGATGAGTGCGGCGTTAAACAACCAACCAACCATTTGCTAACTCGAACGATACTGTTCACAGCGCACTGTAATGATTAAAGAGGTTTGAGTGTGTACAGAGAATGCGGTGTACTTTCAGACAGCAAAACGCCAGGGAAGAGGAGGGTTCCTTCAGGTACAAAGCGAACCAGGAGAACAGGTGATCATCATGGTCTGTCCTCGAAGAACAAGCCCACGATACGGAAACGTGCATAGGCATTGTCATTATCTTGCCAGTCATCAACTGCATAATATGTATTTGTTGAGGATCTCATTGTGTATGGTGGCCGAGAGATGAAACTGCTTTTTCGCTGAGATTGTAACAAAACGATTTTTAATGCAATGATGAATGTGCTAATGTTAATGTATCGTGTTACAACTGAACTGTATTTTTCTGCATGCTGTTGTGAGATCCCTAGTCAAAAGACATAGACAAGTGTATGTACTCACTGTTACCTGTACCACGATGGCAATTTGATAGTGATCGAGTATGGTTTTACGCCCCTTTTAGCAATATTCCGGCAACATTACGGCGGGCACACCAGAAATGGGTTTCACACATTTTATCCATGTGGGGTCATCTTAATAAATCCCAGGGGAAGAATGTATCTTGTCGCACGGCTGTTACATGCTTCCATTCAACTATGGTTGAGACGTCTCCATTGGCAGCCGCCCTGGGTAGTGAGTGAGTGAGTGAGTGAGTGCGTGCGTGCGTTCGTTCGTGAGTACGTGAGGAGTGAGTGAGTGAGTGTGGTGGTTGGGTAGGTGGGTAGTTGGGTGGGGGGAGTCAGTGAATCAGAGCGTGAGTGAGTGAGTTAGTGCATGCGTGCGTGCGTGAGTGAATGAATGAGTGAGTGAGTTAACGCCACTTTGATCAGTATTTCAATAATACGTGTATCACACCGTGACCGCTTCACGTTATAGTATAGCCCATAGTGTTGCAGGTTGAAGGTGTACAACACTATCTCACTAAGTTACTATCACAAGATCTACATGCTGACATGATTCACCCATGATCGTTATTGAACAAATGCCTTATGTTCTATATATTCTTTGAGTACTGACCCAGAACTGACAAGGATACTCTCGTTTGTAGCTTATTCTGTTCAAACGCCTTAAGTCATCTTACGTTGGTAAAATGTCTTGGTTTGTCCTATGTAATTTATTCAAGATAAAACAGTATTATCGCCCGATCTAATCGCACATGCTTATTTGTACTGTGACAATGTGTCGTCAGTGCTGCTTTATGTTACGGTAATTCTTATTATGCCTTTTCTCTGATTTTGTTTTCTTAATAAATTGACGACGTATTCAAAAATAACATTATTCGATTGTACTTGTTTATTGTCCCCCGCCGCAACGCGGAACGTGGGACTATGTATACAGCGGCGTCCGTACGTACGTACGTCCCGATTCTTGTTAACGCGATATCTCATGAACTGTTGTACCTAATGTCTTCAAATTTGGTGACAGCCTACATTGGGGGGATTACCCCGACACCAGTCGATTTGGGTGACCTCGACCTTATTTTCAAAGTCACCACGACACTTTGACCACTTTTCAAACTCTTGTTAGCGCGATATCTCATGGACTGGAGTATCCAATATCTTCAAATTTGGTGACAGCCTACATTAGAGGATTGCGCAGACACCAGTCGATTTGGGTGACCTCGACCTTATCTTCAAGGTCACCATGACACCTTGAACACTTTTAACTCTTGTTAGCGCGATATCTCATGAACTGTTGCACCCAATGTCTTCAAATTTGGTGACAGCCTACATTGGGGGATTACGCAGACACCAGTTTATTTGGGTGACCTTGACCTTATCTTTAGCTCACCATGACACTTTGACCACTTTTCAAACTCTTGGTAACGCGACATCTCATGGACTGTTGTGCCCAATGTCTTCACATTTAGTGACAGCCTACATTGGGGGGATTACGCAGACACCAGTTGATTTGGGTGACCTTGACCTTATCTGGTGACCTTGACTGCTTTTCAAACTTATTTAAACGCAATATCTCATAAAACATTGCACCCAATGTTTTCAAGTATGTTGGCAGCCTACATTGGCTGATTATGCAGACAACAGTCATTTCAGGCATCTTGTATGTGACCAAAAAATAAAAAAATAGTAAATATAGATATTCAGTTCTTTAGCAGCGGGGGACATTGCCATATCGGTGGCAAACACTTGTATTTTCATTGTTTGTGGCTTGTCTTCAAGCTGCAGGCAGCAATATTCCACCTGTATGTCGGCACACTGACAATAGTACAGCCCGGACCAGGCAATCGAGTGTCAACATGAGCCTGGAATCTGAGTCAGAGAGGTTGACCCCGATCCCTCACTCGCCTGTTCCAAAAACACTTGTTCCCGTGGACCAGTTGTGATTTAATCTTTGAGCAGTAAGAACTGAAAGCACCATGAAGTGCGTGCTTCTGTTTCTTCGCACGGCTATGACGCCGATTAACCCGATGGTGCATTCGTTTTGATAATATATAGTATTACAAAGAACTTAATTAAGCACCCCCAGACATATCTCACGACTGAAGGAGCCCCGATCTTAACCATGTTGAGCATATCTTGGACATGATCGGTCGTCGTGTGCAACAAAGGGATCCTCCTGTACAGAACCTGGCCCAATTGGAAGCTGCTTTACACGAGGAATGGCGTAGACTGCCCCTTCAGAGGACCAGGAGGCTGACAGGGGTTATGAGCAGGAGAGTGCTGGCTGTCATACAGTCACATGGCGGTTACACTCGGTATTGACCTTGAATCGTGTAAGACACGCAAAATAACATTTTGAATGTTCACATTCACCAATAAATTCAAAATTAAACATTCAAGGGCCATACTTGTACAGACATGGTTTGCATGAAAATCAGTATTTTTTTAAAATGAGCAATTATCATCATAAAATCAACATGGATCCCAATCATTTTGTCGTTTTTCATGAGTCAAAGGATCATACGGGTCAGTGCTTAATTAAGTTCTTTGTGTATATTACGTCTATTGGATTTTCTATTCAATTTTCATTTCAACCTGATCAAGGCACCAGTCCTAGATAGTTATCGTGACTCGATAGCGTTGAACTTGATCGACTATTGTTGCTTAGCATAGAAATCTCTCAACAGCGATATCTTTGTGCTGATCATAATGCTTGGCGACGGTAGTATGCGCTGCATGTGAGCCGTGCAGTGTATAAGGTCAGGCTATGAATACAAAATGTCATTTAGAAAGTGGTCAAATGTAACATATGTTATATTTGGGATTGCACATTTTTTTTAAAGTACAGATTTTAGTACATTTGTTGGGCAGAGTCTCATCCGGAATTCGAAACCACACCCTCAGCGTCAGGCACCTAGTCGCCAGCACACAAAGTCAGCCAACTAACCCGCTCAGCCACTGCGGTTTCTACATGGCATTGTGTATTCACATTTTTTAAGTTATTTTAACACTTACTGAAGTAAAAAGGAAAGGATGTTATCACGGCATTGGTTTAACATAACAGGAAGAGATTGTAACTGTATAAGAAACAACGTATTAATGGGCCTCACACATTGTACCCATGTGGGGAATCGAACCCAGGTCTTCGGCGTGACGAGCGGACGCTTTAACCATTAAGTTACCCCATCGCCCCTGATGTGTATGTGGTTGGGTCGTGAAATTGCTGAAATATTGCTAAAAACGACGCAAAACAAAACTCACTCACTCACTCGCTCTCATAATTAGAACCTATGGTGTGACCATGTTAAATGTGACTTCAAGAATATTGCTTCTTTTTGCATTGGGGGCGGTGGGGTAGCCCAGTGATTATATCGTTCGCTCATCACGCAGAAGACCCAGGTTCGATTCCCCAAATGGGTACAATGTGTGAAGCCCGTTTCTGGTGTCTCCCGCCGTGATATTGCTGGAATATTGCTAAAAGTGGCGTAAAACTAAACTCACTCACTCTTTTTGGATTTTAATTCTGTCATTATTTTGGTGAAGTTTGGGTATAAATTGGCATGAATGGGTTCATGCTTTTCTTGGTATTAATTTTGAAACTCCAATTGGAAGCCCAATTTTGAATTTAGTGATGCTTGCATTTTAGTTTCTGTTGTTTAATGGGATTGGAAGAAGTCCCAGAATGTATTATCGTCTGCGTATTTAGCTGTGGTGACATCTTGGGGTTGTATTCGCAAACATATCATCTGTCATGAAATTAAAACGTGTTTGCGTGCCTGTCTGTTTGGGGTATTGGGTATGGGACTGGGCGCATTTGCAGGGGTAAGGTATCTGAGAGCAGGCTTAGTCCGACTTTACTGTGATGTTTCTGGATGCTAATAGAATGTGAATGAAATTTAGGATTCTACCATTTTTGTTTTCTATCTTTTCTTGTAGGCGGTTGTTTCATTGAAACTATGACAAAAGCTTTGTTAAAATAAATACATATGGCAGCTGCGTATTGTTTTTTGGTGTCTGTGCAATCCTGACATCTTGTTCTAAATGTAAAAGGTGGTCTAAATTTTGTCGATTTGACGTAAAGTTGCGCTGACAAGGTGGTGATTTTGTACTTGGAACTTGAGTCTGTTGTAATGGATTTAATAGTTTGGCATGCTTTAGAGAAATGGGACGGAAGCAGTCATGCTCAGTAAAGTTTCCTTGTTCTGAGGATTGGATACACTATATCAGATTTCATTCATAGACCGCGTGTGTGTATGTGTGTGTGTGTGTGCACGCGCTCGGGGATTTCACAGTCTTTAACTGGGGCGAGTTTGCACAGGTCACGTCGATTTATGTGTTGGCGTAGCCTGAGGATTTGTTTTTGTTTGCGGGGGCAGGTGTTATGTGTGTCAGTGTGTCCTTCGGAGTAATAAGTTACACAGAAAACCGTCACTGATGCCATGGCTGTGTGATCCGCTTTCGGGCAGCATTTGGGTTCAGGTCTGTAGGTGCTTGAGGGGGTGAACTCTGTGCGAATGTGCCGACGGTTATGCGAGAGATAGATGTATGTGGATTATATTTAACAAAGGCTGTGTGTGTGCGTGCGAGCATGTGTGCGTGTGTGCGTTTGTGTAGGGTGGGTCTGAGGGGGTGAAATTTGTGGATGAGTGTGCTGACGGTTATTTGAGAAGGGGGAGGGGTATGTGATTTATATTTAAGTAAGGCTGTTTGTGTTGTAGTTTTGTCGTTTAGTGATTGTTTTTTTTTATTGATATCTAAAAACCTGGGGGGGGGGGGGAAGAAAAAAAGTCTAAAGAAGCAACAACAAAAAAAAGTCTGTGGTTGTGGGCTGTTTGATATTCGGCTGTATTGTGTAATGCCTTCTGTGGACTTGCAATACCATCTATTACTCCCTTGATCTGGTTTAGCCATTCATGTGTTTGCCAACGTAATGCTGAGTCCGTGTATTGTGTTCTGGGTGCTTGTGCTGGTGTTACTTGGGAGGTGAAGGTGATTCTAACCTGCTGTCACATTCCCTACGCCTGGCAAAGGGCGAATTCATTACTCAAAACTGGGCTGGGCGTTGTGAGCTAGATTTAAACTTTTACTGTTTGGTTTGTGTCAGTTAGGGAGGTACTAGGGGGTTCGTAGTCTGTCGTACAGACCCTGAAGCAAATATATCCAATAAAGCCCACGCAAGTCTAGAATATGTGGCAAGGTTAGATTTCCACAGCTTCAGGAAATGAAGAAAGTCTCAGGGCTCCTTTTCATTATATTATATTTTCTTTTACTATGAATGTTTTTTCAGTAAAATATGTTCATTTCAGGGACTAGTTGTTAGTCTAGGGTGTTCGATGTTTGGTGGGTTGCTGAAGACCAATTCTAACCCCGATCTTCATCCGAACTTACAAAAAACACCCGGCCGGGCTAAATTAAGCACAATCGCAAAAAATGGATTTGACCACCATTACGAACGTCATGAACACATTACATGTAAACGCTGCAAGCCTAAGATCCAAGGGGGCGGTGGGGTAGCCTAGTGGTTGAAGCTTTGGCTCGTCACGCCGAAGACCCGGGTTCGATTCCCCACATGGGTACAATATGTGAAGACCATTTCTGTTAAACTGACTGACTGACTGAGTTTAGTTTTACGCCGCTTTTAGCAATATTCCAGCAATATCACGGCGGGGGACACCAGAAATGGGCTTAACACATTGTGCCCATGTGGCGAATCGAACCTGGGTCTTCGGCGTGACGAGCCAACCCTTTAACCACTAGGCTACCCCACCGCCCTTCTGTTAAACCCCGCCGTGACATTGCTAAAAGCGGCGTGAAAGCGTACTCACTCACTCACTCACTAAGATGCGACATCACTAACTTTGTTCAGTATACGTATTAATGAATGTATAACCCATTATTGTACAAATTCAAATTTATTACAATAAATCACCAATTCAATGTATATCATAATGTTCTAGCATCAAACACGTGCGTTTACAATTTCGAGTAAGATTAAAATCACATGAAAATCCCTAACTAGCACACACAGAAAATATATTCGTTACATCATGAAACATGCTCTTGTTGTAGCCCAGTTTAATAGAACATAAAGCAACACTACAGTCCGTTTGGCTCAAAATCGGACCGATGATTTGCTATCTAACTCGAAAACTACTAAACATATAGTACTCAATGAAACGCTGATCATCATCAAAACATCAGACCAACTCTGTGATTTTGTTTGCAGAATTTATGTCCTAAAAATAAAAAAAGTTGTTGAACAAACTATCATTAAAGTCTTGACACAGTTCACTATTTGTTACGAGGGAGGGGTGCAAAGAGAGGAACAGCCAGCTGCAGGTGTGTGAGAAATGATGGAGACGGCACATCACGGTTAATGAATGAATGACTTTGTCGGCACTTGTGCACGTGCTTCGCTTACACCTGGCTGTTCCTCCCTTTGCAGTCCTCCCTCGTAACAAATAGTGAACTGCGTCCAAATTTTAATGATAGTTTGTTAAACAACGCTTCTATTTTTAGGTCATAAATTCTGAAAATAAATCACAGAGTTGGCCTGATGTTATGATTATGATTAGTGTTTCATTGAGTATTTTATGCTTAGTTGTTTTCGAGTTAGATTGCAATTCATCGGTCCGATTTTGAGCCAAAGGGACTATACCTATCGATGATTTCAAAAGTGATGTTAATGCTATTCATGTGACAAAACGTCACGGTGTATGCGTACGAATGATCGTTTCGTAAATTAATTGACTGCTCTTAACCTCTTGAAACTCAGGGTACCAAAGACAATAAAATTATGGTCAGAAAGATTATGTTGACAGTAAAGACAGTGAAAATACAATACGTATATAACAGACTAATACAATGATGTATCTCAGGCTAGGATATTCAGCCACCTGTGTAACTTGCATATGGAACATTAAACAGTTGTAGTCAATAGCCACATCACCTGGAATAAATGTACCATAAATTACATTGTATTGGAATTTTTATTCAACGAACAAAATGTGTTTATAAAGCAGCATACAATCAAACAATACATACATAAGCTACTAGCAAATCAATTTACTTAACCAGACTTAAGTTATATAAGAATCACTTCTAACTGAAACAAGAGTACATGAATTGTCTTTGATATTATTAAATACGACAGTATGCAGATAAATATTTCTTAACATGTACAATAAACTTAGAAAGAAGACACATACGAGAAATAAATGACTTCCTTTGGGCACAAAGCCGGCTTTTAAAATATTTTAATGTATTTTTAACCCGATAACAATACTGACACAGGGAGGAAGTCATGTGTCATGGGAGAACAGGGACGAAGTCATATGAGTAGTATACACAATGGTGGTACGGGGCCAGGTCCTTTTCCAAGGCGTTGGATAAGTCCCTAATCCCGTCCCACCATTGTGTATACTACTACTGAGGTGCAAGCAAAATTTGATGAAAATCGGTCGAATAGTTTCTGAAATATTGACTTTTAAGTGAGCATGGGGTAGGTCGGGAAAAGGCAAAATGTCCAACTTTTTGTCGTAATTAAGTCTTGATTAATCTAATGAAGTCATCGAAAGTGTTACCAATGCCGTTTTGCTATAGCGTAACCATCTGCCGAGATGCATGCAAAATTTCACGAATATCGGTCAAATAGTTTAGGAAATAATCACTTTTAGTGAGCATGGGGTCGGTCGGGCGAAAGGCTAACAATCCATTGTCGTACTTGTTATATATTATCGAGGCGAGAGGTGTTTTTAGCTGAATGAAACGCAGGTCTCGCAAGTCACATCACCTCGCTACCGTCTCTCGGGGGTTGCTTTGAGCGAGCGCCGTGGACGAGTAAAAGTGTGTGTGTCTCTCGGCTCGGCAATGATGATGATGCACGGCCGTCTGACTAGCGAGGCTACAGATGTCTGAAAGTGAATGAAACGCATCTCTCGGCAGTTTCCTCCCGTCGTCTCGGTATCACCGAGCGAGCGCTGTGGGCGAGTCACAGTGTGTGGCTCGTCTCGGCTTGTATAACGTTATGTTGATTTCCACTAAATCATACCCCATCTCTCGGCAGTTCCCCCGGGTCGCCTCGCTGCCGTCTCGGTAGCATTGAGCGAGCGCAGTGTGTGTGTCAGCTATTTACCTACAGCTCGCTGAGATGGCTGGCTACGTTATGTTGATGTCCGCGAAACAGTTTATTGTGAATCTCCTTCTATGATTTGTTTGGTTTTCGTAATGAAAGCTTGTCGGGCCTGTTTCTTCCCTTATTCTATGTTGTTTTTTTCTCGTCTTCACAAATGACGTCGTTTTTACGAGACTTGGTCCGAATCTCTTGTTTCATTCTGTGATATTTTGCGATTTTTGATAGCACCACATGAAACTACTCTTCAGAGATTTTAGAGTCGCTGAGCGCATTGGAAATCCGATTGTCTATTGTGTTTAAGTTCGCTTCGGCTAGAATTCTAATTTCGTCGTGTTTCAATGCTTTACGTTGCAGTCTGATCGAGATGAATGCACAGTTCGCGATACGGAACGAGATCGGGTAATTTCGTGCCGGTCACGGTGGTTTCTGGTTGTATGTCATTCGACGTACACCTGAGTGTTTTAGCCAACGGCCGACTGAGACTCAAGTCGTTTTTTCCGTTGTTGGCTAACATGACACACACACACACACACTCACACACGCACACACGCACGCACGCACGCACGCACGCACGCACGCACGCACGCACGCACGCACGCACGCAAGCACACACACACACACCGAGCTTTTTTCCCGACCCCATTCTCACTTAAAAGTCAATATTTCAGAAACTATTCAACCGATTGTCATCAAATTTTGCTTGCACCTCAGTAGTAGCATGCACAATGGTGGAACGGCTTATTGTTTTCAAATTAAGCCTTGGAAAAGGACCTGGTCCCGTACCACCATTGTGTATACTACTCATGTGTCATGGCAGAACAAAAAATCCTTGATAGAAGTTGTCCTAACACGTTTCACAAAGTAAACCACTTGTGATGCAGGACGGACGTGCTTTGCACCAAACATTCTGATGAACCATTGGTGTTATAGGTTAACACTATTGAGTGTGACAAGACCATCTTCATCATACCAGTACTGTTCTAAGATATTTTTAACACAACTGCTTTTGTCTCATCCAGCCACGAAGATATCTGCTGATGTTGGTGTTTAATATTGTTTGTGTTACTGCCGCGCTCTCCGTTATTACAGAGATATAATGAATACACACTGTCATTTGTGGTCAAATGAAACAGATGCTATATTTGGAATTACACTCGTTCAGTAAAGTACAGATTAACGTACTTATGTAGGGTTGAGTCCTATCTGGGAGTCAGTCCTATCTCAGAGTCAGGCACCTAATCGCCAGCACACAAAGTCAGCGCCTAACCTACTCAGCCACCGCAGCTTCCACAAGAATGGAAGTCGGACAACTGGTAGTCTAGAAGAATGGAAGTCGCATCTGAGGACAAGCATGGGTAGTTGTTACCCATCTCTTCACGGATTAAATGCTCTCAAACAGCCTAGTGACTAATCAAATAATCTTCTTCATTATTTGATTTATTTAATATTTTGGTCACTGCTTCGAAAGATACTATTTGTTTCAAATAAATAAGGACACAATTTCTAGTCATGTTTAGGACATCTAGTGTTAGTAGGTACAAAACAGGAGAACAAATGATTACTAGTATTTACATACTTTTAGGAGCAATTATGTTGACCCCTCGTACAATTTCAAGGCGTAGTTACAGGAGTTCAGCGTTAACTCTTTTTAGGCATCTTAAAGACCTTCGTGTGCTGAGTATTCCTGAGAGAAAGTCACAACCCTTGATGAAGACGTTGTTAAAGCTATGACCCTAAATTTCAACACTGATTCATTAACACAGCCCAACCGTTTGAATTGTATTTTTACTTTTCACAATTCAAAACCTATAGCAATGATGTCTTAGCATCAAGTATTCATTAGTTTCTGTAACTACATCGTTTCCGGGTGTAGTTTTCAAGTACATTACTGAGGTTGGAATGAAAGTAAAATAGGCGCTTAATCTTTATAAAGTGTACACTAAAAGGTAATCTGCAGGTTGAGAGATACGATATGCTTGAGACACCTTTCATACTTTTATATTAAAACATATATATGAATAAGTAGACAGATTCAAAGGATCACGAACGCTAGTTTCTCATTTTGATGATAACGTGTGACATTGTGGGTAGGTTTTCTAGTAAAGGGATGATGATTTCACACTGAACCATGATCTTTCAAACATGATTTTACGAAATATATATTACAGAAGGACTTAGAATTAAATGCATGCCTTCAGGGCACTTTAGAAATATGAAAAGTGACCTGTAATGGATTTCACAGAGAAGTTGCGTTTAGCCTTTTACCTATAAAACACATTTTACAGTAAAACTTTTCAAACTGGATTTAAATGTGAGTCGATATTTAATTCTTCTTTTTTTGTGTTGTTCATTTGAGAATTACAACTTTTCCAATTAGTTGTTGGCAATGTTTTGAGTTTTAGACTTAAAATCACTTTTAACAACATTCTTGCAATGTTCTGCCACATTTGGAACGGGTCATTGACATTACATCATCGATATTGTAATCGGAGTTCAGTTTTACAAACAGTTCCAATATGCAAACGTTTGCAAATGTTCTGTAGGCTATATCAAGGGGTCATTGATATACATGCTATCAAGAGTAGAAATGCCATCGGTTGCCAGGCAATCAGCTGGTTGCCATCGTTGGTGCGGTCGTCATCTGCAAGGAAATACATAGACAGATGAAGGTCTGGATCATATAGATGTGTGTATTATATTTCGTAACACACCGATGAATGGAAAGGCCCGGAACGATTCTCAAATACTGCAGTGAATCAACAGAAGTTTCACTAATACATTAGTCATCCAAAATGTAGGGCGGTATGGTAGCACAATGGTTAAAGCCTCCGCTCGCCACACCGAAGACACGGGTTTGATTCCCAAAATGGGTACAATGCGTGAAACCCATTTCTATTGTGCCCCGCCGTGATATTGCTGGAATATTGCTATAAGCTGCGTAAAGCCATATTCACTCCCTTACTTATCCAAAACATGGCGGCCGTTCCACGAGTCAGTGTTCACATATGGCAGCCACCACTGCCTTTGTGTTTAGAGTGTTTGACGGAAAGAAAGTCAGGAGAATGTTCAATTTAAAACAAAAAAATGAAACAAGGGATAGACTGTGTGTAATGACGTCACAAATGACGTCATTTTGGACATGACGTCAAAGAGTATTTACACTACGTATTTGAGAATCAAATATATGATAATCGGTCCCCATTGTTCTGTGTTATACCTTGCTTTGGACATTCTACTCAGTTTATATTGGGTATGTTCCCGTAGCAAAAGAACACTTGCACACGACAAAAGATACGTCAAATAGAACACGTGCAGTGAGTAGAACAGAACGGAGAAGAGAAAGAGAAAGAAAGAAAATCAAACGAAACGAAACGAAAAACATTTACAGACGAAACAGGTGATAACAGAATGATTTCGCGATTTTTGTCCATTGAGAACACTTGTTGCCACAAGCAAAGGTTCTGATAAAGAATTGATGGTGTTAGACTTGGGACGATTTACACACCATGATGATGTCAAATGGACATCAATACGTTTACTCCATAGGCTTCAGGTTTACTTTGGGATCGAATATATATGATTGACTCTGTTATATCATAAATTTTTGACAAAATCAAATGTGTTTTAAAGAAAAAAGGTTTGTTAGTAAATATTTACACAAAACAAAACAATCAAGAAATATAATTATCTGCATAAAATTCGACTGAATGATTAGGAATTGTAAGTCCAGATCTCTCATTGCTTTACTTTTCTTTGTGATCAAATATATGGATAATTAACTGAGTTATATCATACGTTTGTGACAGTGTTTAAAAGTAAAAATGTTTGTTAGTAAATATTTACACAACACAACAAATTAAGAAATATATCTGCATAAAATTCGAGTGAATGATTAGGAATTGTAAGTCTCTTGCGTCACAGGAGCAAACTGAACGAGCGTTGAAGTACACTTTCGTCAAGCCCCAAATTCTATTTGTGACATAAGCACCACATATGAAGCCAGTTCGTTTTTCACACGCTCTATGGCTGGGCACAGTACTAAACGGCATCTGTTCTGATGTTTTTCTTTCACCATATAATCACGGAAGACTTGAGTGGAATAAAGCACGACCATGAATGCGTTTACAAGAAGTTCATAAATACGCATGTCGTATATTTGCATACTTGTTCATGTTAAGATACATAGTCATCTATATTCAGTGTATTACGTAACAACAACGAAACACTTGCGGTGTACTTACAAACCCTTTCTTCGTTACTATGCGTCCTTACCGGGGGCACTCGTGTTGTAGGGGGTGGGGTAAACCCAGCTGTCAATCAACGAATCACGTGACGATGAGAGAGAATGACAGTGACGATGAGAGGAAAGAGGTTGAATGGTCAATGATATAAGCAAGGATAATTCAGACAACGTGACCCTTGAAACATATTGTAAACTAGAAAACAGCTAGTACTTTCAAAAGCAAAAGCAGGGATCTCGCAGCCTTTTCTTGGAGGTCATAATCGAGAAATAGTTACATAATACTCCGTATATCCATGTTCCGTATTTAATTATTTGGCATGGGAAATGCATGCCTCATACAACCTAGTACGTGCAAAAGCAAAAAAGGGCACTCACAGCCTTTTCTTGGAGGTCATAATCGAGAAATAGTTACATAACATATTCTGTATTTTATATTTTGGTATGGGAAAATGAATGCCTCCTTCCTCATGTCGTATTAAAGCATCTTGCCTCAGGCTAACACAATGAGGACATTAATGGAACTAACACTGTGCCTTATATCGTCATATAATGTCAAATGACATAACTCCGGCTAGAAAAACCACCTCATAAACAATATATAAATAAAACAAATACAAATGCTACATCAAGAAGTGATGTCTTCACTTCCGGTTTCTAAAGTACACGTTTAACAACGATTCCACCCAACTACCTGTACAAAATGTTATGTATTTCAGTTCAGTCCGGGCTTTCCATATGTAATAAAATTAGTGCTATAACGATGCATCGAACTATCGATTGATTGCAATTGTTTCGTCTTCGATCACAATTAATCGATGGCAGATACGAAAAGCTATCGATGCATCGATAGTATGCGTGACTATCGATAGATTAGTAATTGACTTCCGTTGATAAATGTACAGCGCAAAATACAGGAAGTTCCAGATTTGTTCACTTTGATTTTAGAGTTATCCGCGTGAGTGAGGTGTATTGAACACTGATGTTTAAAATAATAAGCTTAATAATGTAGTTTAACATGTGAGTATGAGGTATGAGATAATCTCATACTTTGGGGGCGGTGGGGTAGCCTATTATAACCAGCCCATTTCTGGTGTCCCCTGCCGTGAAATTGCTGGAATATTGCTAAAAGCGGCATAAAACTAAACTCACTCACTCTCATACATTGGTGGGCGGTGGGGTAGCCTATTATAACGAGCCCATGTCTGGTGTCCCCTGCCGTGATATTGCTGGAATATTGCTAAAAGCGGCGTAAAACTAAACCTAGTCTCATACATTGGTGGGCAAAAATACACTGCTGATTCGAACCATCAGACACAGGTTTATGGCCTCTCTGGCCCACCCATCTCCCCATAGGACATCCTGTGTTTCTAACAATGGAGCACTTCCGGGTTAATTAGATCAATTCCGGTTGGAGGGAAACGTTTTATTCAGAACATATTTACCACAGAAAGTACAATGTTTGTCGTTTTATTCATTACAAAGTCACATGTAAATCCGTCTCCACTTACTGTTTGGGAAAAAAAATGTCTAATACATATAGGGCTGGATATTGCCCTGAGTCTCATATTGCGATATATTGCAATAATTTAAGAGATATTGCAATACATATTGTGATATATTGACTGCAAGGATTAAAACGTTCTGCCAAAATGTGCACATCATACATTCACAATAGCTCTCTGTGTGCGACATCATCTTCCTAGTTGCTGTTGCACCATACTTTCCCATCCCCATTGTGTATGTTAATTGTGTACTGTTTGAAGCACGGGTATCGGATCACAATAAGGAATACCAGAGTTAGGCAGTTAGCCAATACCAGATTTTCATATGACATAGAATCTAGCAAGTTTGAGTTATCTCCATTCTATAGATTTGCATTGGCAAAACATGGGTAATTTCCGTACATAATACGAAGGAGGCTTTCATTGAAATTCTATTTTCTGTTGTGGATTATTAAAGTTTTCTTATGTTGAGGATTTTAACACAGAGAAATTCACCTGCAGAAGATCTGGGATCACTCAAAACTGAGCTTTGAATCCTATGACTACGTTTATAACGAACACGCTTATCACGAATTGACGGATACTACGAACAGGTCATTTGTTCCTCCCGAACTCTTAATCTAAAAGTATACTAGGCACATAAAGAAACTGTGCATACAACAATATAAAATCTAAATTTATCAAACCTGTGTAGACACATAAGGATTCAAACTCAAGAGATAAGTAACATGTATCCAACATGCATGCACGTGCCACGTTCCGTGACGTCAGTGGGTCCGTCCTTGAGAAGTGCAATACGTTGTTGCACGTGCATTCCGGGAAAGAGAAACAAAGGAAATGAATGCCACACAATACTCTCACTTTGGAAAGCTCAACCCCTGCCCTTGCGATCGGTCAAAAACTTAAACGGCTACTGAAACGCATCGCATGCCAAGGCTCACGTCTGCACAACGTCATGAGGCCATTGGGATGGTCTGTGGGGGAATGTTTCAACGACAAGTGGCTGCACATTTCCACTGCCACCGGAACACCATTCCTGCACTGGTGAGACGCTACCAGAACACAAATGACGTCATTGATCGGCCACGTTCTGGACGTCCACTTGTAACAACGCCAAGACAGGACAGATTGATAAGGGTGACCCATCTGCGCCCCAGGTTTCAGACTGCAGTGATGACTGCCCGAACAGTCCCAGGACTTCGCCGTATCCACACCAACACAGTTCGACAAAGTTCACGTCATCACGGGATCAGACCACGACGTCCCGCCATACGGCCTATCCTGACACAACGTCATCGGCAAGCTCGCCGAATGTAGTGCCGAAATCATGTCCGCAGACCCTTGGTTTGGTGGAGAAATGTTGTTTTAACAGATGAGTCCAGGTTTAACATTTCCCATAGTGATGGACGTAACGTTATGCACAGGCCTGTGTCTTGGAGAGGAATCGCTTTGGTGGTGGTGATTCCGTGATGATTTGGGGTGGAATAACAGCACGCCAAAGAACTCCTTTGGTGATTGTTCAGGACAAGTTAACTGGTGTGGGCTACAGGGATCAGATTCTTCGACCTGTGGCAATTCCTTTTCTGCAACGTCATGGCCCTGGGTTAACATTCCAACAGGACAATGCCCGCCCTCATATCGCAAGGGTTGCTATGGATTTCTTGCAACACCACAACGTTGACTTACTGCCTTGGCCTGCAAATTCACCGTATCTCTCCCCGATAGAGCATGTTTGGGACGAGATGGGTCGACGTCTACGCCGTGTTACTCATCCGCCATGATAACGTCCTTGACCTTGCAACAGAACTTGAGAGAATCTGGCGTGACATCCCAAAAGCCTTCCTTGCACGTTTGATAGGCTCTATGCGTCGTCGATTCACTGCCGTTCTCAATGCCGATGGTGGACATACCCGTTATTGAGCTTGTGACATGGTCCTTTGACCCCTGTCCCGCTTGTGGACTCGTGGCGTCATTGTGATTGATTTTTCGATTCAAATTCTCCCGACTTGTTATGGTCTCATGATCCCTCCATTAAAGTTTATATGTACCTTTGACATTGTTATCGTACTTATCAACTGGGATAATATTTTGACACTGCACAGTTTCTTTATGTGGCTAGTATATAACTCACTTACATTTCATTCCCAAATGACTGACTGACTGAGTGAGTTTAGTTTTACGCCGCTTTTAGCAATATTCCAGCTGTATCACGGCGGAGGACACCAGAAATGAGCTTCATACTTTGTTTCTATGTGGGGAGTCGAACCCGGGTTCTCGGCGCGACGAGCGAACGCCTCAAGCACTAGGTTACCCCACCGCCCCCACATGAGTGATGGACATAACTAGTATATTTTGCATTTCGATGTAATCTCCTCGTTACTCACTGAAACGTATGTATTACATAAGAACTAAGCCAGGGATGGTGCTATTGAGAGAACGATGAGACGTGTGTGCCTAGCGCGAGAACACTTGGTGTCATCACCTGTTCTTTATTGACCCAGAGCACACGGTCTAGATCCATGGAATTCTTTTTGGCACATATCAATGTGGATTATGTTCTGAGTTGACGTTTGAATTGACCGTATTGCTTTCAAGTTTGACTTGTCGGGTCATAAACGCTTCTTGTTTTTTAATGAAAAATGTATATATTAATATTTCAAGGTAACATGTCTCGGTATTTTCTTTGTCTTGGCACATCCACAGAACCATAATTTCCGTTTAATACTGCAATGAAGCAGAGTTGCTGTCAGGCCCATGCCAAGCGTAACAAAAAAGTAAGAGAATATCTGGGCTAAAGTTTGTGTCGTTGCCATGATCTGAATTATTACCACGCTGTTTGCTGCTAAGACCTCTAACATTGATGGTCAGCGTTTAGCAATAGACACTCATTTAAAAATATGTTGAATATTTGTCCCCATTTTGATCTCGATATGCACTGAACCAGTTGCAACCTATTTCCTTGTATATTGATTATAAACATACTCCTTTTCAGTTGGTATTATCTTAAAATTAATGGTATTTTTTAAAACATATTTTGTAATAAATTTGCTGATCCCTTGTGTGATGTGCTTTAGTTGGCAGAATTCCTCAAAACTTTGTAAAATTGGTAAGGAAAATTTCATTCCAAAACATTCCATTTTTGGTAAAACGTGCTGTTCATAAAAACAACATTGTTTTAAATTATGCGTTGCATATTACATCATCCTTATAACCCATTACAGTAAAATCCCCGAAAAAACAGATCTGAGTGAGTGTGGTTTTACGCCGCTTTTAGCAATATTCCAGCTGGGGGGACCATAGAAATGGGCAAAACAATAGGAAGGAAACAAGAAGACAAAGTCATCAATATCCCCCGCAATGGCAAAATACTCTTCATGAACATGTCTACGAGTTATGATTATGTCAAATGTTTTGGTGAGAATATAGAAAAGTGGAAGGAGAGTATTGAAAGGTTTTAAAAGTTCTGCTCCAGATATGCAAAGATCTTTTATTCAGAAATCCAAAACTACCAAAAGGCACCAGTACACCACCAGATGTATGTATGTACCACGTTTTGTGAAGAAACATTGAGCGGTTTTAGAGTTCTGCTCCGGAAAAGAGCACTGCCACCAATTTCAATCTAAGTCAAACTTGTTGCCATGGAAATGCCAAACATATTTAATTCAGAATCCCAAATTACCAAAAGGCACCAGCACACCACCAGACCAACCTATGTGCCAAGTTTGGTGAAGAAATAGTGAACGGTTTTAGAGTTCTGCTACGGTAAAGAGCGTAACCACCAATTTCAATCTAAGTCAAACTTGTTGCCATGGAAACGCCAAAAATATTTAATTCAGGATACCAAAACTACCAAAGGTAACCAGTACACCACCAAATCTATCCATGTGCCAAGTTTGGTGAAGAAATATTAACTGGTTTTAAAGTTCTGCTCCGAAAAAGACAAATGAACACGGACGCACGGACGGAGTCCATTTTAATACCCCCCGCAATTGTTTTAATATTGTCACCCAAAACATTTCTAGTTCGGAATGACTTTTCTAGTTCCAATGTTATTAAGTCAGTTGTCTGAATCAACCTGTGCTTCATGATAAATGGTACACAGTGAAACCTCGCTAATGCGGACACACTTAATCTGGAAACCCGATTACTACAGCGACTGACCACACGTGCACAAGTTGAAGGATATCGGTCGTCATAACTTGTTAATCTGGTCCGTATTGGTGAGGTCGTTATGGTCCAGATTAGCGGGGTTTCGCTGTATATGATTCTGACATCACACATATAGACAGTGTAGTAGTGGGATGTCTTCCATTGTGTGAAATACAACCCACTAAACAGAGAGAAAGATCGGGAAGCAAAGCTTTTGAAGTAAAATACATTTCAAACATGCATATTGGAGCCCTCCGAGCGTATCACAATGTGCGCATACTTTGTTTTGGAATATAAATTCACTCAATCCAAATAAGGCAGTCCCAAAGAACACGTTATGAATAAATAATGGAAATAAATATTTGCCTCGGGTATGACAATACAAAGAATATGGGAACACTCGAAGAACTCTTTGCATATATCAATCATTAATTGTTCCTTAATTACATTTGAATAATTTCAATTTTATTTGAATAAATTATATTTTGTCTTTGGAACGTATATATTGATTGACAGATTAATATTCAAATGGTGTCCTTCTGTCAGAGTACATACGTTCTGAATAAATAATGCAAATACATACTTGCCTAAGGTACGACAAAACAAAGAATATGGGAACACTCGAAGAGCGCCTTACAAATATCAGTCAATAGGTGTTCCTTTACATTTGAATAAGTTCAAGTTTGTCTTTGAAACAGTATATTGATTGATCGATTAATGCACAAATGGTGTCCTACTGTCACAGTACAATAACAAAAAATATATAATTTTCAAAAAGTACTTATCACCCATTGAGAATTACAAAGCTTGGTGTTCTTTACGTTAACATTTCAGTATAAGCATGATTCCATAAACACAGGTAAATAAAAACGAAAAGGGAGCACAAACAATCACTGTGTTTAAAACCCAAGACACGAGCTTAAACGTGAAAGATTTCAAACGGTAAATGTTCCAAACCACACATATTAGCTATATTAACTTGCAGGCAAACCTCCCACAAAAAACAAATAAGTAACAGGAGGTATATAGCCATAAACCATGGTCTTCATAAGCCAACATTTCTTTAATTTCCATGTCATTGGACACATTACAAACATCAATTACGTCAGCTTCCTGAATGTTTACAGCCGGCTGTCTTCATATATCAAATAAACAATCATGTTTCCTGGCAAAATATATGCTTGTGAAGCAAATATATGACATAAATAATTTCTGATGAAAAGATCAGTTAATCACTCAGATACAGAAACATTGCATGGTGCGATTTTTAAATCTTACTCCTTTCTTTTCGTTTTTCGTTTGAGGAAACCAATCCCAACTGTCATATCTACAGGAAACATCACTTTCTATATACTCCTTCCTGTTACACTTTCTACTGCTGTGTGGCCTTGGAGAATGGCAAAAGATGGTACACACACGTATGTGACCTGAGGTCTTAACGCCGATGTAATCAAATTACGGCGGTACTTTTATCTAATGTTATACTGGCATAGAAGAATGAAATTGCCGGTGCGACCTATCACGTGATATTTCTAGCGTGTGGGGTTTTTTTTACGCTTGCATCAGCAATATTCCAGCCATATGGTATTGGTCTGTTAGTAATCGAGTCAGTCCTGTGATCAACACCAATGCCCTCGATACACGTAATTAGGATACGATGACATGTGTCAACCAAGTCACCGAGCCTGACCACTCGATCCCGTTAGTCGCCTCTTACGACAAGCATGGGTTGCTGAAGACCAATTCTAACCCGGATCTTCAAGGGTCGAACACGCGACATCTAACCGGTGACCCTGAAAAGAGTTCCTTCTGTTTTAGCATCTATCAGAGTGAGTGTTTGGGAACCCAGCTATCGGAGACTGATCAATAACTGATTCATAGTGGAACACCACTAATCCTGGTATATTAAAATATTGATAACTGACGATTTAGATTCTCACTCATTGGAACTCTCAGGGGTTGGCAGCTATGGGGAAGTAGGTTTCTTATAAATGTAATTTTTTGAAGGAAAAATAAGAGGGACCAGAATCATTTTAGATGCCCGCTGTATAGCTACAGTGATTTTAGAAAAGGACGGCAATATATAAAAGTGGACCAGTGCTAAATATCATCAGAATGAATATACTGTCAGTGTACAAAAACAACGCAATGAACCAACAACAAAAATCACTTACACTGAATTTACCACCTAATAACGCAATGATTTATTAACAAATATGATTAGAACCATACTTACGTTCATTTGTTGTAAACATGAATTTATCACTAACTTCGCCCCAGCCATAGCTATTGTAAGCTCTCAACATCACTTCATATTTGGTGTCAGGAGCTAGGGCGGTCAGGCTGTATGACTGCATATTGGTAATGACGCCATCTTTGGATGTTGCCGCCACATCGACTTCTGTCCAATTGCCCTCGAATGTTTCATTCATCTGCAAGTGAAGTTAGTGAGTGAAGAGAGTTTTTGGTCATGGTAAACAAGTGATGCTAATGTCACCATTCTTCTGTGTTAGCGTGATTGATTGAGTGAGTGAGTTTAGTTTTAAGCCGTTTTTAGCAACACCAAAAATGAGCTTCACACATTGTACTCATGTGGGGAATCGAACCCGGGTCTTCGGCATGACGAGCGAACGATTCAACCGCTCGGCTACCTAACCACCCCAAACACGTGATTGAAGATCTAATGGTGTGTCGTCCTGACGAGGCCGTTACGCGGTATCGTGTCCATGAAGCCTATATATTGTAACTGGTGCGTGTAAAGTAGTGTGTGAAGCTTATTCCAAGAGTGAATATGGTTTTACGCCACTTGTAGCAATATTCCAGCAATATCATAGCGGGGGACACCAGAAATGAGTTTCACAATTCGTACCCATATGGGGAATCGAACCCGGGTCTTCGGCGTTACGCTTTATCCACTAGGCCACCCCATCGCGCCTTAGGAAGGATAACAATACATGAATAAACAACTTTATTACAGTGAGTGAGTAAGTGTGATTTTACGCCGCGTTTAGCAATATGCCAGCAATATCACGACGGGGACACCAGAAATGGGCTTCACACGTTGTACCCATGTGCGGAATCGAAACCGGATCTTCGGCGTGACGAGCGAACGTTTAACCACTAGGCGACTATTCGTTGTTGGTTCTAACCACAAGGGTTCGAATCACTGTTTTGACAATAATTTTTGAAATATAAATCTACATTTTTTGCAACCGTATATTGTTTTTATATGTTATGATTAACTAATATTTCAAATTTGAACGAAATCGGTGAAGAAATGGATGTTTTAGAAAATTCTCCCGCAACACTCTTTACATAAAATACATAAGGGGTGACACTCGCGATGCTAAAATCCAGATCGAAATGTAGTATTGAGCATTCATGTTCCTTCTGCTCATTTCTGGTGTCCCCCCATTTTTTTACTATTACCTCTCGGTACATCAGCTTGTACGTCACAGGCTTCACTGCAGATGTCACCGTCCAGGTGACGCCACGCCGTATACCCTGGAGAAGTTGCCAGTGGCGGGGCCGTTGATCTCAACTTTTCCAGGTAACGCTGAAACATGAATGGTCAATACTAGATGGTTCCAGTGCGGGACAACCAGGTTGGTTGATTGGTTTGTTGTTTAACGCCGCACCCAGCAACATTCCAGCTATACATCTGCACCAGACAATCCAGTGGTCAACAGCATGAGCCTGGATCTACGCAATTGGGATACGATGACGTGACAACCAAGTCAGCAAGCCTGGCCACCCGACACCTTTAGTCACCTTTTACGACAAGCATGGGATGCTGAAGACCAATTCTAATCCGGATCTTCACGCGTACCATCCACGGGTACAGTACCATCAACATCACGATTCACACGCTGGAGCTCCTTTCACGAAGCAACCTTTACTAAGGTTAACCTTAACTCCTACTCGCTAACATTGCACTAAGGTAAACTTAGTGACTTACGATCAGCTTAGTGCTTTGTGAAAGGAGGCCCTGCCCAACAACTGATTCTATCTGGGTATCCCGGCATACAGGAACTATGACACTGCTGGTCAAACAGCCCTAGCTGACAATCAGTGATCTTACCTGTCACCATGATCTTCAGTGTGTCAGATCCCTCCTTGTTGGTAACCCTGCAGGAGTAGGAGCCAAGGTCGTCGTCTTCAATGCCTTTGATCTCCATGCTGTAGTCTATTTTGAAGCCTCTCTCTATCAACAACATTTTCATGTTCTTGGGGAGGTTCCTGAGGTCGACCACCGTATCGTTGTGTCGCCACTCAATTGTGGGCTTAGGCTGTCCACTCGCGATACACGGAATCTTCACTGAAAAACCTGGACCAGTCCGGAGGGTCTTAGGCTTGGAGTGGATCGTCGGTGGATCTGTTGACAAAGACAAAACTGTTAAACATCTACTCTTGATGTCGAATGAATTTATTTATTGTTATATTAGTCTTTCATTTATTCTTCCTTAATAGTTCGTTGTTAAGCAGACCCGTGATGATACGGGTTAGAATTGGTTTCCCTTTACTATCCCTGATATTCCGTACTTTCTGAACCGCCTCCGTGGTGTAGTGGTTAGAGCGTCCGCCCGGAGAGCGGAAGGTCGCGGGTTCGATCCCCGACCGCGTCATACCAAAAGACGTTAAAATATGGTACTTGTTGGTCCCTGCCAGACGCTCGGCATTAATGGGTACAACAAGGACTGGTCGGCTCGGAGTCAGTATAATGTGTCTGATAAAACCAGCTTTTTTAATTAAGTCTGGGCTAGTACAAGCAGCCGCACATACACATACGCACGCATGCACGTCGTCATATGAGTGAAATATTCTCAAGCACGACGTAAAACCCAATTTCACCCCACCTCACCTCACCGTACTTTCTGTGCTTTTTTCCCAGTTTCTAATACTGTTCACCCGTGAAGATCAGGGTTAGAATTTTTCTTCAGAAACCTATGCCCGCGTAAGAGGCGGCTAACGGGATAGGATGGTCAGGTTGACAGAAGACATTGTATCCAAACTTCGTAGATTATGCTCATGTTGTTGACCACTAGATTGCCTGGTCCAGACGCGATTATTTACAGACCGACGCCATATACCTGGAATATTGTTGAGTGCGGCCTTAAACAACAAACCAACAAATAAAATCGTTGTTTAACAATTAGAACCCAGGAACAATAGGAGGCAACTACAAACATCTACACCAGCTTACAACACTAACAGAAAACATCCACCCTGACGGAGTCTTCATCCGGATCGCCCACGCCGTTGAAGGCGGTGCATTTGTAGACGCCCCCGTGGCTGTACTTCAGTTCTGTGAGGGTGAGGGTGTCTCCCTCCATTTCCTTCTTACCCCCGGGAAGGGACCCGTCCTAAAACATACAAATATATTTTTATGTTATAGCTGAAATATCTGCGTCTACTACTGCACCAAATATGTCGAATATCAAAAATATGTAAAGACGAAACCATAACTAGTGTACATTATGAAAAGGAACGTTCGGCCAGTTCTGAATTAAATCCGGTTCAGAAACAAAACAGACAAGATCTGCTTTGTGTAGCACACACACACACACACACACACACACACACACACACACACACACACACACACACACACACACACACACACACACACACACACACACACACACACACACACACACACACACACACACACACACACACACACACACACACACACACACACTGGGTACACAGGTGGGTGGGCAGGTGTTGCCATTGTTCTGAGATACCCGTTTACCATTCTGTCTTATCTTACCGTCTCCCTACACGGGGTGGTGGGGTAGCCTAGTGGTTAAAGCGTTCGCTCGTCACGCCGAAGATCCGGGTTCGATTCCCCACATGGGTACAATGTGTGAAGCCCATTTCTGGTGTCGCCCGCCGTGATATTGCTGCAATATTGCTAAAAGATGCGTAAAACTAAACTCACTCACTCACTCCCTTCCTACACGCCCACCTAGTAACGGTCGGACCATACAGGAACGCCTGTCACATGCTTCCTGCATTTATATAATGGTCCACTTCGGACAGCGTTGATAAAGTTTACGGTTACAGGCTCTCATGATCGTACTGAAATGAATAAACCAATGCATCACATGCAGTGGACAAAATATCCTTACAGTCTACATGTACCTTCGCATCTGCCATAGAGTTAGGTCCTCACCCCATTTGAATGTTATTCCGATTGTATATATTTGGGTGGCAACAAAGAAAACGAGGGACCTAGAAGACAACCTTGGTGAAACCCTTGAGCAGGATGCTGACAAACCTACGTTCGTCGCACCGGTTCACTCCCAAAAGACAGACCACTCGTCAGCGTAAAATAATATCAACGATTTCATAAAGATACCAAACTGGTCCTCAATAAGCTTATTTACATGTTCGAGGCCAGTTCCAGATGGCTACCTGTATGCCAAGAACAAGGTGAAAGGAGAAAATGATGACGTTCAAGTGGCTCCCTAATAAGTGTTATTTGTTCACTGACAAACATGTGACGTAAAATAATATGGTGCTTGGTCTCATATGTTAGATAGGTACATGTATATAAAGTATTGTTTTGATAATATTCACAAGTAAATGTGATTGGCAAATATATGTACATATATGCTGATGCAATGTGTGTTAATTTAAAAATCATAATTCATAACATGAATTGATGAAACTATAGTTAACACCTAATGTTGTCTTTTTTATCAGGGCACATACCATTATTATCAAGGGTACAGCTTAATTAAGCCTTATGCAACCAACCATAAATGTGTTGTTTTAAGCGGTCTGTCTTTTGGGAAGTCTGTCTTATGGGAAGATACCGTCGCACCCTATCCTTGGGCACTGTCATGACAAAGGGGTGACTGCTTCCCCATTGACTCCCATTAATTGGACCTGCTCACCTCTCGTGACCACACTATCGTGGGCTTGGGTTTTCCAGTGGCGGCACACGTCAGCGTGACGTTATCCTTCAACGTCGCCTCGATGTCAACTGTTTTATTCAACATCTCCACCGTAGAGGGTACTGGAAGAAGTCAAATATCATGTTCAACAATCAATAAAACTGCCGTTCCGGGTGCCATTGTACAAAACAGTCTTACAGCTACGACCGTCGTAAGTCTATGTTAGTGTATGGGAGTTACGATCACCTTAGGGCTGCGACAGTCGTTGTTTTATGTTAAGGTATGGGTGTTACGATCACCTTAGCCCTAGGACAGTCGTAGTTTTAGGTTAAGGTATGGGTGTTATGATCACCTTAGCGCTGCGGCAGTCGTAGTTTTATGTTAAGGCATGGGAGTTACGGTCACCTTAGCGCTGCGGCAGTCGTAGTTTTATGTTAAGGTATGGGTGTTACGATCACCTTAGCGCTGCGGCAGTCGTAGTTTTATGTTAAGGTATCGGTGCTACGATCACCTTAGCCCTAGGACAGTCGTAGTTTTAGGTTAAGGTATGGGTGTTACGATCACCTTAGCGCTGCGGCAGTCGTAGTTTTATGTTAAGGTATGGGAGTTACGGTCACCGTAGCGCTGCGGCAGTCGTAGTTCTATGTTAAGGTATGGGAGTTACGGTCACCTTAGCGCTGCGGCAGTCGTAGTTCTATGTTAAGGTATCGGAGTTACGGTCACCTTAGCGCTAGGAAAGTCGTAGTTTTATGTTAAAGTATGGGAGTTACGGTCACCTTAGCCCTAGGACAGTTGTAGTTTTATGATAAGGCAGGTGTTAAGGTATTGGAGTGACAAACACAATTTAAGAGTTGAGAGATGACGGAAAATGATCAATAACATCTTTGACTCAATACTGAACTGTTAAGGGACGTAACTGTTCAAGACTAGATGTGACAATCCCTTTTCAAATTTTGTGTTTGTTGTTTGTTTGTTGTACTCATATACTAGCTAGAAACGTAAAATTAAATATATAACCTGTATTATGAAAATACATCCAGTCCACTTTGAGGTCGGATCAGGCTGGGTGGAGTTACGCCCCATAGTAGAGTCAGGAGTCTCACCTGTGATGTTGATGAATGACCTTTGTATTAAAGGTGGGGTAGATGTGACTTGACACACGTATTCCCCCTCGTCTGCCTGTGTCACGTTGAAGATGTTGAGGTTGTACTTCCCAGTAATCTTCATCCGGTCGACGTCACCGCCAATGATCATGTGATTCATCGATATGAACGCTACATCACGTGACCATATGACGTTCTTAGCACCTGCAACAGAGCCAGTGAAGAACATCAGGTGAGGAATTGTCTTGGATTTGCATGTATTTGTAACGGACATAACAGGCGGGGAAGGATATGTTCTCTTTTCGCCAACAGTTGGTGTCATCAGAAGTTAATGATCATTCTTCGGGACAAACTGGTGGCATAGTCGGAATAGCATAGCGGACTGATCTTAGCAGAGATTTTGTATGATTATGGAATTGGTTTTTGTCACTATTATTCACCAAACCACAGATACAGTTACGTGTCTAAAGAGGATCAGGACGAAATGTCAAAAATGAATCCAAATGTCATCATCTGTAATTTACTGGTAAAAAGGAAACAAACATCCAAAACCCAACAGTATAATGTAAAGCGCTGGACTACCTCAACAGTAAACCACCAGTGCAATTTAGAGAAACTTTAAACAAAATGTTTATATCCCCATTGGTAGCAGTTGTGCTTCTCTCCTAGCTGATCCAACTTTGTACACATGTTCTACAGGGTCAGCAATTTTGTACACATGGACTAGAGGTGGTCCAGCAATATTGTCCATGAAAATATTCAAAATTTATGCTTTCAAAATTATGGGAAAGGGGAGGGGGTCATTGATTACGTACATGACATGCAGGGGGTCACTTTTACTTTGTACATGCATTGGAGGGGGTTGGGGGTGGGGGTGGGTGTCACATTGTACATTCTTCATCATAAAAATCATGATCACCCCCTAGCCATAAATTATGAACGGTCCCTAGTACTCTGGACAGTGTTATTTGTTCCCGATGCACATCTTCAATGGCCATGGTCGTATCTAGTTATTTGTCCCTCTTCTTTAAGACTATATAAAGAATAGGCCCTGTATATCACAGCAATAGTACATGTATATAACAACAGCATTGTGGACGAGTTTTTGTTTATAATACCATGTAATGCCAAGGTTTTGTGTACAGTTGAGCGGGATAACAAACGAGTATTTTTCGCTTACAAATATTTTTCTTGCGTTTTACTGTTTAAGGTATATATAGCTGGATTAACATCTTTATAGTTAAAGTGACATCATGTAACATTATTGTCTGTGCCTGTAAGAGTTTGACATGTGTTTAAAAATAATTAACTTAACCATGGCATGATCTTGACAAAAAAAAACCCGGACAAGGACAACCTACATCTTGCCCCTTCAGCAGACAATAAAGAAGTTGTTACCAATAAACACTGTCATCCGGTCTTGTTGTGAAAACTTCAAACGTCTAACCCATTTTTTAAAACAATATTTGTCGCCGAAACTTAGGTCGACTTTTACCAGTCGTCAAGAAAAAAGCTAAACTGGCGACGCGTGGATTGAGGCAATTCATCCATTTAAGCTTAAAACAATACAAAAAATAGTTCTATGAAAAAAATGGCTCCATGAAATTGTAAATTATTTGAAATGTGACAACCCACTGTCTGTCTGTGAAAAATGATGGACCGTTGGAACACATGCCGTGTTCTAAATATACTCATGCCAATAATGGTTGTCACCCCCTTCAATTTATTTATTGGAGAGGGTGTGTGGGGAGGGGGTGGGGAGGGGGGGGTTTGACAACCATTATTGGCATGAGTATATACTAATTTTAGTTCGTGACTTCTAAACTTAAAAACAACATAACAATAACTTTGGAAAATGTCGTCTATATGTCATTACCACACCACACAACACCAAATCGTATCATTACAGATATATCACAGAAATATTACAGATGTGTCACAGCAATATTACAGATATATCACAGCAATATTACAGATGTGTTACAGCAATATTACAGATATATCACAGCAATATTACAGATGTGTCACAGCAATATTACAGATGTGTCACAGCAACATTACAGATATATCACAGCAATATTACAGATATGTCACAGCAACATTACAGATATATCACAGCAATATTACAGATGTGACACAGCAATATTACATATATATCACAGCAATATTACAGATATGTCACAGCAATATTACAGATATATCACAGAAACATTACACATGTGTCACAGCAATATTACAGATGTATCACAGCAATATTACACATGTGTCACAGCAACATTACAGATATATCACAGCAATATTACATATGTGACATAGCAATATTACATATATATCACAGCAATATTACAGATGTGTCACAGCAATATTACAGATATATCACAGCAACATTACAGGGATATATCACAGCAATATTACATATGTGTCACAGGAATATACAGATATATCAGCAATATTACATATCACAGCAATATCACATCTCAACAGCAATATTACATGTGTCACAGCAATATTACAGATATATCACAGCAATATATTACACATGTGTCACAGCAATATTACACATGTGTCACAGCAATATTATGATATCACAGCACATATACATATATATCACAGCAATAATATTACAGATATATCACAGCAATATTACAGATTTGTCACAGCAATATTACAGATCTTTCACAGCAATATTACAGATGTGTCGCAGCAATATTACAGATGTGTCACAGGTATATCACAGCAATATTACAGATATACACAGCAATATTACAGATGTGTTACAGCAATATTACAGATGTCACAGTAATATTACTGATGTGTCACAGCAATATTACTGAGATACCATAGCAATATTACACATGTGTCACAGCAATATTACAGATATATCACAGCAATATTACAGATGTGTCTTCGCGAAAAATTCAACATGAATGCAATATTTCTTATTGAACTGGGTCCGCTTTAAACCTTTGTAACGTGGTACAGCAAATTCAAATCTGCGAAAATGTCATTAATGGGAATCAAATGCAGGATTAATGTACAAGCTGTGACAATACTGGGCAGTGATAATGGCTTTAAGGCCACATGTCCGTCATCACTTTGTCACACGTTTGTCGACATTTCGACTGAATGTTGGTCACCCCAGGTACTGATCATCATTTTTTCATCCTTTTATCAATCAAATTTAATAAAATATGCAGAGTATAAAACATTTCGCATTCCCTTTGTGTTTTATTTTTTAAGAAAGTACAAAATCACTACAATAGTACTACTTGTCACAGCAATATCACAGCTGCAACAGCAATATCACAGCTGCCACAGCAATATCACAGCTGCCACAGCAATATCACAGCTGCCATAGCAATATCACAGCTGCCACAGCAATATCACATCTGCCACAGCAATATCGCAGCTGTCACAGCAATATCACAGCTGCCACAGCAATATCATTCAAACCCTGAAACAAATATATCCAAGAAAGCCCACGCAAGTCTAGAAAATTTGGCAAGTGTAGATTTCCACACCTTCTGGAAAGGCTCCTTTTCATTAAATTTTATTGTTTTTCACTATGAAGATTTTTTCCTGTAAAATATGTTCATTAGTCTCTGTTACGGATATATTATAGCTATATCAAAGCAATATAATTGCTATAGTGTAACAATATTACAGAAAATTAAAGCATTGTCAAAGCAATATCCCAGACATATCATAACTATGTCACAGAAATAATAATCCCTGAAGATCCCGGCTAGAGCTGATCTTCAGTAACCCATGCTTGTTTTAATCGGCGACTAACGGGATCGGGTGGTCATCCTCGTTGACTTGGTTGACACATGTCATCGTATCCCAATTGTGTAGATCGATGCTCATGCTGTTGATCACTGGGTTGTCTGGTCCAGACTCGATTATTTACAGACCGCTACCATATAGCTGGAATATTGCTGAGTGCGGCGTAAAACAACAAACCAACCAGCCACAGCAATAATACTGTTATAGTAGCAATATTATTGAGATATTTTAACACACGTATCAAAGTGGTCCCCCCGAGTTAACCGCCAATGTATGATCACCTTGTGTGTCAAAACCACACATCTCAGAATGACTAGTGCACAAAGAATACTCACCTAACTTTGAGACTTTACATTTCAGCGTTATATTTGTCCCTTGCATTACCGCATAACCCTGGGGCTTGCTGACGAATTGTTGACCTGAAAATAAGAAATACAATATTGTGACATATATTTAACAAAACATGCATCAATGCATCATGTATTTCCATTGGGAACTCTCTATCAGTGTGTAAGTATTGTTTTACGCCGCAGTTGTCTTTATGCCATCTGTAGTGTCTGGTTTAGATTGCTTGTTTGAGTGGCATTTAGAAGTTGGTGTGATGAACAACGAAAAGAGTTCTATGGATAAACAACTTGTTAATATAATATGAGCGACGGTTTCGGTGTAGCTACTAACATTTTCTTGATAACGGTGTTAGTAGCTACACCGAAACGTCGCTCATATTATATACTCATGCCAATAATGGTTGTCACCCCTTCAATTTTCTTAATTGAGAGGGGTGTGGGGTGGGTGTGAGGTGTGTGGGGGTTGGGGTGGGGAGGGGTGACAACCATTATTGGCATGAGTATATTAACAAGTTGTATATCCACAGAACTCTCCTCGTTGGTTAAGATTGGTCTCATTGTAAAGAAAGTTTGGTACAATTGGATGTTTAACACCGCACTTAAGCCAATTTCAGCTAAATAACAGAGATCTGTGAATAATTCATTTGGCATGGTATTCATTTCCTCAAAAAAGTTGAAATCCAGGACTTCATGGATTGTCTCAATGGAGGCATCACCTGCATGAAGCGTACATACAATCAGTATATTGTTTTCCGTAATTTGATAAAAATACGAACCTCTTCTCATGGTTAATAAAGTGCACGTTTTCTCAAAGATCCTAGATAATATAGTAAAATTACAAATCTAGTCTAGAAATACTAAGCCAGTTTAGATTCAAGTACTTGTTTGTTTGACTGACTGACTGACTGACTGAGTTTGGTTTTACGCCGCTTTTAGCAATATTCCAGTAACATCACGGCGGGGGACACCAGAAATGGGCTTCACACATTGTACCCATGTGGGGATTCGAACCCGGGCCTTCGGCGTAACGAGCCAACGCTTTAACCACTAGGCTACCCCAACGCCCCCTTGTTTGTTTGAAGAAACAGGCTATAAAGTTGTCTGTGGGTTTGAAGTGAAAAAGTGAGTGAGCGCTATTTGTTCAGCATTGAACAGTATTTAAGTTATAATTACATGCTGGTCTGTCTGAAGGATGAAATCCCGATGTGATGCTAACACTAACATATTTCATGAAAGGTATGGTGCAGACAGACCTGGAAATATAATCAACTGGGATTCGAACCTTCGATCATCATTTCGGCGCCAAAGACGACCACCCACCCAAACCAACATCCTTCTTCACCCTTGCACATTCACAGACAAGGTTAGAAGTGGTACTCAGTAGCCCATACTTGTCGTAAACGGCGACTAATGGTATCGGGTGGTCAGGATTGCTGACTTGGTTGACACTTGGTTGATCATCGTATAATAATAATAATAATGAGAATATTTATAACGCGCCTTTTCCAGGCTAGATATCCTGCTCAAAGCGCACAATCTGATCATTATTACCCCGGATAACCCAAGCTGCCTGTTAGGCGCTACAAGGTTAATAGTCTCACGACTTATTTCACCGGGTACCCATTTCCTGCTGGTTGAACAGTGGCAATTGTGAACAAACTCGCTTGCCTAAGTTGAGACCACATGTATCACATGTGCTTCGTTGTGGGGCAGGACCAATCGATGTTCATGGTGTTGATCACTGGATTGTCTGGTCCAACTCGATTATTTACAGACAGCCGCCATATAGCTGGAATATTGCTGAATACGGCGTACAATTAAACTTACTCACTCACTTGCACACCCACACCCTAAGCGTCGTCAACAGATGCCGGTCGCTAGGAGACAAGTGCATGTATCAGAACCATTGCTCATAAGACACCTTCATGGGTGCAAGATGGAGATGCTTTACTCCCAATAAGCTGAATTACCTCCCTTAAGAACAAAATCCACGAGGTACGGTTTCGAATCCAAGGATCAATCCAAGGATCAATCCAAGGATCATAACTATGTAGAACAGCTACCTACGATCGTGGAGTTGACTCCCAGGTTCACCCTGTTTGTGTTGCATGGACTATTGTCCAGGTTGTCATCAAAGAGGAAATGTTCTAACTTATTAAAATGAAAGGGACAATCCACAACAACCTACCCATGTTCGTAAGAGTGAGTGAGTAAGTATGGTTTTACCCCGCTTTTAGCAATATTCCAGCAATATCATGGCGGGGGACCCCAAAAATGAGTTTCACACATTGCACTCACGTGGGAAATCGAACCCGAGTCTTCGGTGTGATGGGCGAACGCTTTAACCACTAGGCTACCCCCACACTCCCTTTATTCATAAAAAGCCTTTTTAATATAGCTCCATTGTATAGCTTTCACATCATAAGCATGTGTACTTTAATCCCTACTTAACATTGCTAACACTTGTGGTGGTCCCATTTATTGAAATAATCGAGTGGTCGTAGTGACTAAACGACCAAGCAAATCGATCATGTTTTCTCATAATAACACAAACAATTCTGGAACACTTGTTTTCATTAACAATATTTTTCACATGGTTGGTTTTGTCTGTTACATTTCATAAGCACTACAAGCTCGTTTCAAGTCATGATTGAATTTATCTTAAAGTTTCCAAACAATTTATGTTCCTAACATACTATTCATCCTTTAAAGATGTGAATTTTTGCCAAAAAACCCCAGAAGAACTACATTTTTTCCCCTTATTTTAATGTGCATTAATAAATTTCATAAATGACGCTAACCAATTATTTTCGATGATTATGATCGGTAGTATTGAACCAATCATCAATTATGAGATTTTAACCAATTCCCAACACTAGCTAACACCAGGATGTCGCAAAAAAGGGGAGCTCCTTTCATACGTTATTATATTACACACGAGAGGTATAGTCTGATTCCATAAATACACGCTATTCCTCTTCGGTGATATCAGATAAAAGATATATATTATTTCCGTTATAAAACAGTAACAATATTTTACTAACCGTTTTAATTGATACATAATTGTGAGTGAGTGAGTGTAGTTTTACGCCGCACTCAGCAATATTCCAGCAATATGGCGGCGGTCTGTAAATAATCGAGTCTGGACCAGACAATCCAGTGATCAACAGAATGAGCATCGATCTACGCAATTGGGATCCCGTTAGGTGCGTTAGCATGGGTATACTGAAGATCAAGTGTAACCCGGATCTTCACGGGTCGCTAACAAGTAAGACGGGGATACATAATATGTCTGGGTAACACCACATACTAATACAAGCCTTTTTGAAAAGGCCTGGAATTACCCAAAGATATTTGTCAGTGATCATTAGAATCAGCTATGTATCAAAATACACGGGAGAGATGGTTCTTCATTGCAGACTTGCAGAAGTCTAATGTATCCATGGTATCGTTGGCCTGTTCCACAGTGCCTGACCTCTCAGTTAATAACAGTGAGCGTGTCAGAAGGCAGTCAGACGTCATATCCGAGCAAATCTCGATAAGGTCACGATATCGGCGAGATTTGGTTTATAGCGTTCGCCATGTACCGGTCAGAGGATATGGTATAGGATACAGTTAACATACACGCCCCTTGTTTAACTTCACGTAACAGCTTTAGAAGTAGGTTCGGTGGGTAGTTAAGCATCCTTTAATTCAACGACTCCTCAATCGTTTTTGTTGCTTTTAAAATATACCCTGCCAATCAATTAATTCCATCTTCGTTTATCCAGGGTATTATTCTCGATATAGGATGAGTTATGCACTAGACACATTCGTAGAGTAGGCAGTGTAACAACAGCACCCAGCTGCTTGTATCACAAAGGCGACTAACGGGATCAGGTTCGCTGATTTGGTTGACACATGTCATCGTATCCCAATTACGTAGATCGATGCTCATGCTGTTGATAACTGGGTTGTCTGGTCCAGACTCGACTATTTACAGACCGCAGCCATATAGCAGGCACACATCAATACTATGCACATGTATGTAAGATTGTGCGTTTGTGATTGTGTGTGGTTGTTATTGTGCGTGTGCGTGTACGCACGCACGTGTGTGTGCCTGCCTGCTTGTAGAAACCTGGTTCAGACTAATTACTAGTTGTACATGCTAGTACACTAAGATACCGTACCCAAGTTCAGCATGTATACCCCATGCAGATTGTACGGTGGGGTAGCCAAGTGGTTAAAGCGTTCGCTCATCACGCCGAAGGCCCGGGTTCGATTCCCCACATAGGTACAATGTGTGAAGCCCATTTCTTGTGTCCCCTGTCGTGATGTTGCTGGAATATTGCTAAAAGCAGCGTAACTACATCCACTCACTCACCCCACGCAGACACACTTGCACATGTCCTTAAGGTAATTAAAAATAGTATTACAAAGAACACATTGTCCCTCTAACAGACTGGCGTGCTTAGTCCGCTTATCTATACTTCCCTGGATAAAAATACTATATATCCACTTCCTCAGAAAACAGTCCAGTCTTAGAGCAAAGCTACCATGCAAACAGAATACTGATTCCGTGCCCGCAAGTGCTAATTGTATAATTTTATGACATATCGACACAATTGTTATAAGGCGACTAGGAATCCAAACAACGACCTTCTGTTCTCTGAGTAGACGCTCCAGACTCCCACTAGACCACGAAGGCTCTCTGTTTCACTGCGCAAATTTGACGTAAATAATAACAAATTTAACACTCGTATCATATTCACATACAAATAACGCTCAGAGCGTGATAAAAGTAACGAAAAAAACCCTGTATAATGACATGTATATATTTACCTAGCTGCAGTGTAAACACGTTTAGATTACCCTCCTGCAATTCCCAAATAATGATATCCCTCTTCCTCCCAGCATATGATGATGATGATCCCCACACATAGATACAGCCAGGGGGAACACAGATGGGGGGTCAGGTCTGACACATCGTGTAACGGATACGGGAAAAACACTAGGTTATACACAGCATCACCTTTAGCAACGTTTCTCAGACTAGGAGGGGGGTGGGGTGGGGGGAGTTTAGTCTTGCCTTA